TTCCCCAAAATTGATCATAGATTGTCATTATGTATCTCAGATTCTCAAAATACCTTGAAATCCCAACTGCCATTCCTTAATAGAGAGCTCCATCAGCAAACACCTGACAGTCTTATTCATTTATTTCATTTAAAAAGTTTGATATAATTGTACATGGTTGTTCCATGAAAACTTATCTAAAAGAATCTAAGTATATTTAACTAGTTATTTCAACATTTAATGCATGTTCTTAGTGAATGGATGAATCTAAGGCGTACATAGCATTCAGATTATTTTTGACAATTTCATAAGAATCTTAATTCATGATTGTTTGATTTCGATCCAGAAATAAAGATCTCTCACTTATATCTACAAATCTATAGAAACTCTCAGCTCTAGCAGTTGCATTTATTTCAGGTATCATTTAATTTAAGTCTGTCAAAAATGTCTTACTCATTAGAAAATTTAATGTAAAGTATACTTAAGCTATTATAATAAATATTAAGATTCCTAAAGTAAAATTGCGTTGTTCTTTATTTGAATTTTTGTATTTCCTTCTCTTTCTTTTGGTTTTCACTGCTTTATTCAATTCATTTTGGCCTTCTCTTTCCATTTCATCCATTTCTGAGATTAAATCATCATCTTCTCCCATTTGTAAGTTAGATATAAAGTTTTCAGCCCTGTTAAATAAATATTTTGTAGTTTTATCTGGCAGATCTATAAAAATTGCTAACATTTCCTCTTAAGTCTTACTCACTGAAGCTATTGCTATTAACAAGATAAATAATCCAATACCAAGTGCAGCAGCTGAAATACTTAGTATCAATAAGAAAGTATCTTTATTATTTTCTGATTTAATCCTCAATTCATTAGCATACAATGTTGAAAAGGCTCTTAATTAATATATCAAACTATTTAGAGAATTAAACAACACAAATTGGATGTCTCCATCATCCAAACTAATTTCAGTTATTGGTTTATCTTTGATAATTAATGATTTACTCAATAATTACTAGATAGCTTCGGAAAGATCAAACATCTATGAACTACCATCACTTGATCTCATATTCACAACATCATTGTTCATCATTTCCAAGATCTAATTGCTCAAACTCACATCTGTTAACATTAACTCCTTATTCAAATTATCAACATTATTTATTGATTAATTTAACTTCTTCTTCCATAAGGCTTCATATGTTTACTACTCCAATTGAGTAGAGAAAATCCAAACATCCATATTCAACATCAATAAATTTTATATGCTTGTAGTAATAGTTTATAATTCAGCATTCCTTTGATTTTAATTTTTAACCAGCAAGATAGTTTTATAAATATCCTCATACTAGTCATAAATTATGAAAAAGTCAGTGAATGATAACACAACTAAGATAATGGCTAGTATATTCGCAGTCCAATTAACTTTTGTAATCACTTTAGGAACCTAGTAATTATTGATAATTTAAGATAAGTGCTTTCTCGATCTAAATATGTTATTCTTCTCATTCACATCTTATTATCCTTTCCTCTCCTAATCTTAATTTTAGTTTCTCTCAAAAACACTATTCTTCCCCTCATTCTCCTCATCTGATATGATATCCTGATCATTTATATCCTAAATTCTGTTCTCAAACAGTCTCACAGTTGCTATTCCTTCTCCATAATTTATCTTGTTCTTTTATTAATCATTATTATCAGCTCTTACTAAATATTTTTATATCTCTGCATTATGAATTTCTGGTTGATTAGATGAAATCATAGAAGAGAGATCCCCCTAATCCCAAATTACTGTTTAATCAACTCTTTAGGAGTTCATTTCAGCAACAAATTCACCTTAATACATTGCCATGCGAGGGTTGTATCTAAATTACAAACTTAACCCATTTTGACGATGATATACATTAAGTTCTTAATTTATGCTCTTTTCATTCTGATTTATTTCTAATCTCACCGCGTATCCTGCCAATACTCCAGTAGTGTCATTGATTATTTCATTCATATAACAATTAAAGAAAATCTCAGCCTCCTCCCTTTCCTCCTTTAGAATTTTATTACTGATTTATTATTCATTTGGTTTATAATGTAAAGTTCCGCCAGTTTTACTAAGGTACTACTATTTTTATTAACTAAAGTTTGGAAAGATGTCTGTCAGCATTATTTTCTTGTGTGATATTTATTTATAGTCAAGGTTCAATAAAGGAATGCATGAGGCAGATACACAATCAATCGATTCTTCTGCATCCACTATTAAGTAACAAGTTGGTTTGAATAACTTAATTGGTCGAAATTGAGCAGCCAATTGTAAACTATCATCTTGTGATTAAATAATCTTTAGAGTTAAAAAACAAGGGAGAATGTAATTAGACTTTAATTTTATGTATACCAACCTTTCTTTGTTAATATTTTTATTATCATTTGTTTGCATAAATCGTTCTAAGTATGAATCATGAAATTTAGAATACAAATTTGGCATAAATATATTGACCTTTCGATTGATCATCTCAGATTTAATGTATCCAAAGAGATTGCAACAGGAAAGATTTAAATTAATAATTTAGGCAAATCTCTCCTAAGCTGTAGATACCATTACGATGGCATTAGATTCAAAACACAAATCCTCATTACTCAATAGTTATATCGTTTACTAATTCCTTAATTTTAGATTTTGTAATTATAATTTTTTAGATTTTTCTAATAATTCCTCTCCAAAGTCTTCATCTTGGAGTACTTCAATGATAAATTTAGCATATAATCTCATAGCTTTCGGTAAATTTTAAGTCATCTTCTACATTTTATTCCATAATTCTTCAACTTAAATAATTGCTAAATTGATTTTTGAACCTATATCATTCATTTTACCTAAATCAGGTTAATCTTCCTATAATTATGCCCAAAAATCCATATGCATTAATGTTGTTCTCTCAATCATATTCTAAAATAATCTCATGTTGTTTTAAAAGTTTAATTCTGTTGCGACATCTAAATTACTTATATTTTCATTTTATGCTAAACTCATCTCGAATTCAATTATCTATTTATACCTATAAATTATGAATTCTTAATCAAAACTTGGGCATTACTATTCTGCTTATAGCAATTCATTAACTGCTTGTTATCTTTATTTCATAAGATCAAAGAGAAATATTGAATATCTTATTCTTAGGGATATATCATTAGGGAACTTCTTGATTTAATTAAAATAGATTTAACCTAACACCATTAATAAGTCAATATCTCTTTCTGATACTATTTGATCTTTAAAGAAAGACTTCTAGATCCTTTGATTTTGAGATCGTTTTTATTTGAGATAGCAATCTTCCTTGGCACATGTAGCTCTGTGTATTTCAAGGAAGCCATCAATCATCAATTATGAATCAGGATCTTAGGCTTTATGTAATTTAATTAAGTAGTCTGTCAAATTGAGCACTTCTTAAGGGTCAGAAACCTTATTTAAGTTGGTTAATAGCAATTCATAGTTTAATTTATCAGCTTTCAATACTGCTGCAGTCATGAAAGGCAGACCGAATAGCCATGCATAGATAGTTCCAAAAAACAATTGACCTTCTAAGAATTTAGCAAAACATAAGAGTATGACTCCCCACATGTTGACTGCAGACAGGATAGACCAAGCTTTGGCTATGTACTTATTGTTGTGAGGGTTTTCAACATGCATTTTCCAAAAGACCAAAAAACTTCCAATTGCTATCATAAATATGAATAGATAGTCATATGATTTCTAAGTCATAAATGTATAGCAGATTATCATGATAAGTTCGTAGGTAAGAAAAATAGCGAGATATCTGCCATTCTTCTTTGATTGTGGGTTCATTGGCAAAAAACGAGGTTCAAAGTATAAAAGTGCAAATGTGATGCAAAAAAGATAAAAAAAGATAATGCCAAATATGGAGACAATCCCATGAACTATATGTGTTCCTTCCCAACAGGTAATGTCTGAAAATAATGAATGCACCAACCTTCCTGTTTCATCTTCAGCGCAAGCAAAGATTGAAAAGAATACATCCATTATTGGCATGTATAAAATTGATAAAAACAGCTTAATTAAAGCTTTCAACATTTGCACTATCAAAGAGATGCTGGATTTCAAGCGATAATTGAGCAAAATTATTAGCATGTAACCAATTAAGACTAAACCTAAGCAAGTATACATCATTGAAATCAATCCAATAAAGGAAAGCATTTCAAAGTATGGAACCAACATTGAATAACTTCTTTACATCATAGTATTACCCTAAAACTTTGTTAATTTAGCGTGAAACTTCATAAGTCATCCAAACTGGCCATATTTGACGATTGAATAGGATGTATGTTACCTAGAAAAACTGCACAATTATAGCTAAAATGCTTAATAACATTGAGGGTTCATCATTCTATAACAATAATTATGTGACTGTGAAGTATATTAATTTGATTTCATTTAACAGTTTATCTGTCTTAGATTTATGTAAATCAAAAGATGATTTGCCACCGAAGTTAGATTTTAATTCCATTTTATTTAATAGGTTTGAAAATAATCAGGCACAATTTAATTCTTAAATAAGAAAACAAACTTCATTCCGAAACACTCATTCCTACATTAATTGTAGATAAGAAGACTAGCTAGATCATTTAGTTGTTTGGCAGTAACTCAAATATTTAGAATATGTATTCTAGATTTTTATCAGAAACCATTTAAAAACCACAATTTAATAATTTCTTTATCAAGACAACCATTTTTCTATTATTTTCTATACAATATGAAATTAAAAATCAAAACTAATATTTATAATAATTATAAATATCTTATCAAATTCAAGTCTTGTCTTTTTTGTTTGATTGATATTCTCAATAATTTAATAAAAGTTGATTAAAAATGATTACAATATTTTATTATTTATTTACAAGATAATTTATAATAATATCAACAAATTGCCAGCCATATTAATTAAATATGAATGTGAGAGTTGCATCAATTTTCTATTGCTTACATACTTATATACAGATGTATGAGAGTTATATAATAGTTATTTATCTAAATAAACTTGATGATTTTATTTTATATATCAATTTAATGTTAAAATAAATCCTATTGCTTAATATAATAATGGCATTAATGTGGGATGAGGAACTTATAGTTGCAAATTGATTGCAGTTGGTGAATGGATTACATTTACCAATAATGGCATTCCATTAACTAATGATGCTGCATAGGATAGTAATTCAACACCCCTTTCATCCTTTCTCACTCCAATTAAGAAAAAGTAATTGCGCTCCAACTTCTCTTTCATCTAAAATTATGATCTGAATTTAGTACTCTTTATGGATCGATTTAAATCTAAAGAACTTCCTGTTTTCTGGCTTGATTTTATGCTTGGCTCAATTCAATGAACTTTTGTTAAGTAATGCTTGCGGTGCTACTCTAAAATAATAAGTTATTCTAATACAAATAAAACACTTAAAGACATTGGGATAAGGAAATAGAATACATCCAAATTAGTCTTTAGAGCAACTTAAATTTTGTATGGCATTTAAGGAGGTTCTTCAGCAGCTGGACCATTAGTATTGATGGATGAGTATGTAACTTGAGTTTAACCTGGAAATACAGGTTAACATGGTATTTCAATAGAATCAGGTTATAATTTGAATGGATTTTTATTGAACTTCAATCCGAATTCTGAAAATGTTTTATCTTAGGTTTTATTTGTGATTCTTAGATCTAGTACAATTTTGTCGCCATTCTTTTGGAAGGCAGCTTCAATTGATAATCCTTAAATCTGTGTTTATGATCCTGGAGTATTAGCAGTTAAGACCTCAGCAAAAGGTACTCTAATATTTTAGGTTTAATTGGGTTATAAGGTTTATTAAGGAGGTATTTATTATTATTATTAAGGTATTTATTATTATTATGGTATTTATTGTTATTATGGTTCATCTAATTCTAATAAATCAATTTTTTAAGAAACTTATTATATTTATGATTGTTGAACTTAAGATTAAATCTATGATGATGTATCATAACTATTTTCATAGACTTTGGATTATCCTCCCTATGAATCACTATAATCTTCAGGTCTTCCTTCCATCAATTCTTCCTGATCATAGACCTCATCAACTTTATCAGCAATTTTGGAATTTAACACATCTCTCAATTTCTTAACAAAGCTTTCAGGTTTCTTAGTATAGACCGAACTCAAGTTTCCAATATTTTCGATTAATTTATCTAAGAGTTCATTTTCAATTGTATAACTGGAATCAGAGATAGTTGGTCTTTCTGTAAAAACTATTTTTTTGGCTAATTCTGGATCTGTAGATAACATTCTCCAATAAATATATGCTCTGTCTCTGAGATCTGGGTTTTCACATTCAATAGTGGCTGTTTTAAGAAGATTGTGTATTAATTCTTTTCCATCATTGGGTCTTTATAAAAACAATTTCATGACGGCAACTAGTATTTGATGTTAGACATTGGCAGGTTCATCTTTGAAGCTTAGAATAAGTAAATCAAATACTTTTCGCCGAAATTGGACAAGAGAGCATCTGCATTTTCAATGGTATCAACATATTCTCCGATAATCCAAATCATGGAAGCTTTGGCTTCTGGATCTTCAAGACTCTTGAGATTTTCACAAAGATCCTTAAGAATCATTTCATACTTTCTAGGGTATTTCCTAAAGATATCTCTAATGACAATGATGCTTTCCATAACAACATAATTGACTTTTGTTTTAAGACATTCCCAAAGAGCTGTAACACACTTTTCGGCTGCTTTTTCCAATTTGATAGCACACCTTCCAATTGTTCTAACTGCTTTTCTCACAAATTCTACATCTACTTCTTGAGTGTATTCTTTTAATTCATGTAAAATTTATTGGATGTTATCGTTATTGGCTAATTTTGCCAACACTTCCAATTTTTACAATTTGATATAGATTGGATCATTAAAATTACAAAAGAATACTTTGATATCTTTTTCAATGATGATTGGTCTCTTTTGAATGATCAAATTAATATTTTTTAATGCAACATATTAAATTTCTGGTTCTTTGCCCAAACTTAAAAGTGAAATCAGTGGGGCAGTCATTTTCAATGCATTTTGTCTAATGGTTTCTGGATTTTAAAGATAATCCAAAAATTTCATCATAATTTTGCATGCTGATAACACGACTCCTGGATTGTTGTGATTCAATCTGGGACTGACTCTCTCTAGGATTCTTAAAATACTATTATAAATTACGCTTCTGCTTCTTTTCCATCTTCAGGAATATACATAGCCAAAGCATCTAAACAATATATAACACCCCATTCATTGCATTCATTCATAGCTGTTAATATTTTTTAAATAGTGAATGAATTCAATTGTAGCATAGTCGTTCCTTTTGATTCTTGAACAATCAACAATGCACAGACTGCATTTGCAACAACCATTGCATTTCCATCATTTAAGAGATTCTCCAGAAGCTTCAATAAACCCTATTCTTCAATGAGTTCTGGTGACACATCATACAATTTGGAAATGCAAATAGCTGCTGTTTTTCTTACGTATGAATCTTCATCCTTATTATATTTTTGGATAAATTACTTTGATGGATTCTTTCAATGGATCCAATAAATATTCTGTAATCAACTTTACTCTGATACATCCCATTGTTCTGATAGCCAATGCTCTCAGAAATGGGTTTGTCTTGTCTCTTGCATCTTTACGGAAACTGTTGACAGCCATGACAGCAAGATCAGGCATAATTTTTTGCATAATTGATGATGTACAAGTACACTAGCTTTTTTAATTCTAAATTTGAGGTTTCCATATTCTTTGCCACATCTGGAAATAGCATACTGACATCTTTGCCTCTTGTCATGGCATCGATAATCTAAGGATTATAATTCAAAGTACTTTTCTGATGGCATCTCTTTTAGACTCTATTTTGTTCTGATTCAAGGCGTCTTGCAATTCTTTGACTTCTTTTCCATATCTGGATCTCGAACTTCTACTGCTGCTTGAAGTTGAAGCTGAAGGACGACTCATGCAATTTTAATTTAAAAAATATCTTTATATATATAAGTGATCTGGTGAAAAAATTCCCCTTATTATTCCTTGAATATCCTGGATTTGTGCTTTTGGAATGGTAGTCATTTATAATGTATGGCAATTTACCCACTCCAGGCAAATTCACACTTATTATTACAATACTAAATTTACTGATGGGTTTCGTAATTCTTCAACACCTGCAATCGCTTGAGATTCTTCACTTGTTCTAAGAGCTCTCCTTTTTTCAAAAAGATCTCACTGTCTCTCATCAAAGTATCAATGATTGGATTTTGTTTAGTGCTTTTAGGAATTGAATTTGTTCTCTCATCAAACATCAAACTCTCCTTGAATTTCTTTAAACTCATACTCTATTTTAGTATAGGCAACTCAGTATGTACTGGTGCTTCTTCTCTGATAACTTACTTTTCTATTTGTTTTTATTCCTCCTGTGAGCACTCCTTCTGTTCAAGGAGAGGTTGAGCCGTTACTCTTTGAGTTTTGTGACCCCAAAACCTATCGATCATTGAGACATGTGGGATTGATTTGTCTTTTTCAATCAAATCAGTGACTCTGGTGCTGTCTTCTACAAGAAATACTTGATATTTGTTATTGATTGGCAAAGGATCATCACGATATCTGGATGTACTTGACATTTTTTAATGGATAATTTTGTAATTTTTGGAGGACATTAAATATAAAATAATATTTTATGTAAAAATAAGATAGAATTAATATGCACCACTCAAAAAAGATTAGTTCTTCTGATGTGTTCATTTATGTGTACCAAATTAATTAATCTTATTAGTTAATATTAAATATACGTTTTATGAAATTGAATTATTTGCTGCTGGGACTCTTCATGTCTCTTATCGAAACCATCGGTAATTTCAAGTATCCTTAATCATCTATGTTAGAGATATGAGCAAAGAGAATCAGAAAATCTAATTGCAGATGAGTAACAAACAACATCAAATTAAGAGAGTCAAAAAAATAATAGATGACCAAGAACAATGGTTTGAGGGTAATACAAATCACAATTAATAGAATTCTTTGAATATTACGAAGAAGTTATCTATGAGTATGATGAGTAAGATCCAGATGAACTCAGTCTTGGATCGTAGATGGATTTAGAACATTTAATTGAGAACTACGATATACCTGAGGATTGTTACGAGGAAAATGTGAGTATCTATGAATATTACGATGCCAGCGAGGAAACTCAGAAAGTTGATACGAATAAAAAACCTAATCAGAAGACTGAAAATGAAAATAACTTCTAAGTTTTTAATTTAGGAGAAGAAGAATTTATTACTTTGGTAGACGATCATCAAGAAATTTTGGACGAAGACATCTTAACTATGAAAAAACCAATTGAAAATGAGGGTCATTAAAAACATTCCAAGAAGGAGAGTCATCATAATAAAAAATCAAGTAATAAAAAAAAAATTAAGATCAAAAATAAGAAGAAGAATGTTAAAAAATAAAAAAAGAAGTAGAAGTGACTTACAATTATTTCATATAGACAATAAACTAATTGATTAACAAATCATATCGATCTTACCTATTGGAACATATTCTTTTAAAGCATTCAATTTCAAGTATAGTAATTGTGTGAATTATCTCAAATTATCATCCACTGGAGTAGTTCTCAATATTCTATTTATTTATTATATTGTTTATACTAATTTAATTGTGGCAGCATCTCTAATATAGTCTCCAATGTATCACTTTATTCAACTATCTAACAAATTACCAGCAAATATCCATATAATGGTATCTGTTATTCATAAATGAATTTCTTTAATATCATCAATTGTCTATTCCCCTCATATGATTGCAATTCCAAAAGCAGAAACAAAAACAGATTCTCGTGGTTGAATGAAATCAACAAAATCTTGCATACAAACTATAATAAAATTATGTGAATTACATCATCTAATTTATTTTTGTAAGCCATCTTTATGATCTACCTTAAAGAATAAGGGATCACCTTGTCCACTTCCATCTTTGTATTTTGTTCTATTAAATAAAATAGCAATTCAAACAGGTGTTTAATGTTGATCAATTCCAATTTAAATTATGATTCCGGCTATATTTATTCTAAAATCTCAGAAACTATAATGAACAATGATTTATTGTTTTCTACCTTCCATTAATACTTATATTGATTGTTTCCCATGACTGTATCTTTTATGAATTATATAGTGCAGGTGTCCATCTACATTGAAATCATAAAGAAAGTGTGAAGCTTCACTAATTACTTTGCCAGTGTTGACTAATCAAAGGCGCACATATTGTAGGATTACTTGCAAAGGTCAATAGGAAGACTTTTCTTAGATGCAATGTATTGATATAATAGCTGATATAATTGATCTACATTTGCAGTGTCATTTTATTTGATGCATTTCTCAATAAAATTCAACAAAAAATAATACATATGTTAATCTAAGGTAGGTTTGTATTCGACAAAAAAGTTAATTACTATCTAGTAATAGTAGATTTACTGATTTCTTATGCAAGATTCAAGGATGGCATAAAATAAGATGGAATTTGAATCAACTAATTAATATGATTCTTCAAGAAGTGATTTTAATTGTTTACACAAGTTCAACCTGTTCTCTTATTTATTATTACTCTGGAACTCTTTCAAAAACAACAAAGTCCCAGTTACTATGCCTGATTTATAATTTTTTAGGAGATTTTAAAATAGAATTGTTTAAGTCTATGGCAAAATGCCGAATTCTAAATTTAAGAACATTGCTAAATGCTACAAGATTTGACTTTCCTTGATCTACAGATTTGATAATAAAGTTATTAATTGACCGAATTATTTTGTCAATCTAGTATCACTTTGCAAAATTGGGGATTATCAGTAAGATCATTATGAAAAAACTCATCTAAACATACTTCTTAGTATTTTCCTATGTGTTGCACAATGGTGAAAACCAATTAACACAAATCAATTATATTTCCAATAAAGATTATGACTCAATGATGTAATTTGATCATCATTGAAGTTGTTGATGTTGAGTAATTATGGAAAGTCGATGAGCATCTGGATGAATGTCTTTACTTAGTTTCATTATGTTCTACTGATTCGATGCCCTGAGGATTAAGTTGTACTTGAATTGAAACCATTGGTTCATTAATATGAAATTGATTGGATACAAGGAAATATTCTAACTCAATTCTTTAAGGAGGATCAAAATATCAGTAACTGTGTGCATTAGGTTATTATCCAGGAATTGTTAGAACATCTTATTGACTTGATTTCTCACTTTTTCAAAATCGATTTCTGATTAGAGCTCTTTGATTTTCACAATTAAGATGAGGAGTTAAATTTCAAGGGGAGTTGTTTTCTATAAGTCATATTGTTTGCTGTATTGAATGAAATCAGTTATTTTATTTAATTTATAGTACGATAGTAAGATACATTGATTGCATTGGTTGAGGTAATTCTGATCCGATTTCTTGAGTTCCTCTTTGATGTTAAGACAAACTGATATAACAGTTTCAAGATTCTTGTTCTCCTCAACCAATTGACAGCATTATTGCAAGATTAAGTAGTAGGAGTATATTATTAGGTTTGCTTAGGAATCGACTAATTTATGTTTTTTTTAGTCGAATTTAATAATGTATTGATAAAATTGATCTATTTTTTCACTTGAATTGAATTAATTAATTTTGTAAAGCAGCATGCTAATTTATGAGATTTTGTTACAATCTATGCACTATTCAAATTTGTAGCATTGTTCTAGAGCAGTTAATGTCAATTCGTTTGGTTAATATATTTTTAGGTACAGTATTTTTTTTTATAAGACTTCAAATAGATAAAAGTATTCTTAGAGTAAATTTTAGTTTGAAATGTAAATGAAGGAATTGATCAACATCACCTGAACTTATATCATAGGCGTAATGTATATGTCATTTTCATCTTATTTTATTGATAAATGATCTTCTATTTAATTGAACCAATTGATTAGCAATCTAATAGCTACTAGTGACAATTTCATACATGGGGTCTTGCACTATCTTCCTCTGGTCTTGCTGTAACACCTTGTTCATATCGAAATCTAAGAATTGTTACACTTCTGAAACAAGACCATCGCAAGGTTATTGTAATTGAAGTACTTCAATAAAACACTCTATCGAATTAAGCATAATATTTAATTAAATAATGGGTAATTGTAATCTGTATATATATAATAGCTCATCTTGTTTCTCCCCAACCTCAATGAAATATGAAACCATTTTCATTTCCTCTGAGAGCATGTTGAATTTTTGGCTATACACAAGCCTCGACACAAGTCACTAAATCCCTGTATGGATACATCTATTGTAAACATCGGATCAATAACATACGCAATTCTTTTCAGGATCAGCATTTTTCAAAGACAAGAATGCTTTCACACATCTGTCATATTTGTCATCGTACCACTTACACTAAGGTCTGCAATATTAGATAAGTAAATCCTTAGGATCTTTGCCCTATTCCAACATTGTCTTTATGGCTGATGGGTAATTCTCATTAATTTTTCCCTCTCCAAAATTAACCTAATTAGACATCTCTCTACAAATTAATTTAATAAATATCTTTCTTTATTTTGACATTATTAAATAAACATATGAGCATATATTGACTACAACTTTCTCTCCCATTCAAACATACCTAATACTTATAGAATATTTATTGTAATCTCTAAAATTATTATTAAAAAGTCCTAATTGAAAATGCTTTAACAATTTTCTCTTCAAAAGGATTTGTTTTGATGACTCTACAATTTCATTTAAGTTAATAAGTAATGCTTAAAAATATAATAAATTTTTGTTGGTTCTTTTTTTGAAAATCAAATAAGCCCATATAAAAAATAATCTAAACTATCTTTTAACTTTGCAAAATCCAAATTTTATGTTAATTTTAATTTTGTTAACAAATGAAAAGCACAGAAAGAGCAGTATCTATTTAATTACAATAAACAACATTTAAATTGATAAAGGAGTATCAATCAGAACTACGGATATAGAAAATAGAAGGGGGCAAAGACTTATGACAATATACAAGATGTTTGTTGGAAAACACTTTGCAATAGTATAATTAAGTAATTCATTCATTATTTTAATTATTTAGTTTTTATGCAAAATATTTATTTCTTTCCCTATATACGACTCAAAATCTGGTCTTGTTGACTCTTTAATCTTTTAATCTCTTTTATCACTTGAGATTTATCATAATATTCATATCCAAATTTATTTTTCAATGCTCTTCCTATCTTAAGACTGAAATTGTGACTATTGCCGAAAACATGTTATCCAAAAGTTTCTTCTATTATTTGAATCTCCTCATTTGATATGAATTGACCCAAAATTCGAAATCTATTTCTTGCTGCATTAAGTTTCTTAGCATATACCTTGATTGTAGCTCTTTTCTTTGCTCGCTTCATTCTAAACAACTCTGACTTCCTTTTCCTTGTCATATCTGTGATTTGACTTTGAAAATGAATGTCAATGGCTCTTCTCTTGTGTTTGCTTTCTAGAAGTGATTCAAATTATCGTATCACCTCCATTTCAGACAATGTGAAATTGTGAGCCTCCTTGAAATGCAGGATTTACTCTTGTAACTATCTAATCACATCCTTCTTGCTTGTAATAGATTCATTACCAATCATGAATTGTTCTGATTCCAATTGTGGGTCAGTAAGAGTTTTAATAAAAGAAGTTAGAGGAGGACGAAAGAAATTCATTTTTAATAATTTATGTAAAAAAAAGTAATCTAAAAGTCTTCTACAGTCAAATAATTTGATGCTGCCTCCCCAGCTACTAAACTACTAGAAAAGAGAAGAAAGATGTACGAGATACATGAAGCCTACGAACATCAACAAGACGAATATAAGAAGTATTTTTATTGCTTAACAATTGCTAAGACAGGAAGAAGAATTCAAGAAATAAGAGGAATAAATACGAGAGAAGGACAAGTAGATTTAGGAAGAATTGATTAAGTTTTGTAACTTCTTGCAGGAGAATGAGGCAAAGAAGAAGAGAGCATTGGTGAGGTTTCAAGAGGAGAAATCATATAAGGAATAGAAGGAGAAGGAAATTTAGGATTTAACAGCTTAGTGGACTGATTTGCAGAGACATCAATAGAGATTGGAAAAGAAAGGTAAGCCATTTGAGTTCTTATGTCTTAAGTTACATCTTTAAAGAAGTACGAGGATTATTTGGATAGCATCATAAAGCAATATCCAGAGTAGTATCATGATTTGCAATCCATTTTGGATAGGTATGCAACATTGACCAATTCCAATTCTAAGTTGGTTGAAGAACATTAGAATATGGAGAAGGAATTTGAGAAACTCAAATATGAGTCAACTTAATACGAGAAGGAGAAGAATCACGAGATTCTTTAATTAAATAATGACATAAAGGATTTGTAGAAGAAGTTGGAGGAGAAGGCATCTGAGAGAAATCAAATTTAAAGTGTTTATGAGGCAACAACTAATGATGCTTCATCTAAAAACTTAAGTTTGGGTAGAATATTGATGGCTGTTGACAATCTCTTTACGCGTTGTTAGGAAGGAACCTAGAGAATGAAGTAAGATTTCGAAGAGTACAAGTAGGATAAGCAAAATAAGGAGAAGGTGAAGGATAAAATTACAAATAATAAAATTCAAAATTAGGACTTATAGTTTAATGATGAGGACAATTATGAATTAAAAAGTTAATGATAAATCTTAATTTTAGGTTAACAAGCTGCATGGAAATTGAAACAAATTGTTCAATTTATGTCAGATTTCAAAAAGATTATTGATAATTGCAAAGGAGAATTGGGGAAAGCGAAAGAATAAAAAATTAAATGAATTAAATATATATATAATATTAATGAATAAATAAGAGAAAAGAAAATTGCCTAATCATTTACAATATGACACTGTAAGTCCAGCCACTAAATTGCTCGAGAAGAGAAGAAAGATGTACGAAGTGCATGAGGCATTTGAAGCCCAGAGAGAAGAATTTAAGAAGTAAAGAAATAAACAAATTTTAGATAGGAAGATAAGTTTAAGTTGGAGGAGGAAAAGATTAGATAGAAGGATATGGAAATTTAAGAGTCTTTGATTAAGTTTTGCAAATTTCTATAGGATAATGAGGCAAAAAAGAAGAGAGCTGAGGGAAGATTGGAGGAGGAACGAAGATAGAAAATATAGAAAGAAAAAGAAATTTAGGATTTGAATGGATAGTTGTAGGAGTTGGAAAAGAAATAATAAAAACTAGAGAAAAAAGGTATCTTTACGTTTATATCAAAACAGTTACTTCAATGAAAAAATATGAAGAATACTTAGATAGTGTTGCAAAACAGTATCCAGAATAATATCATGATATGGCATCAATTTTAGAGAGACATAGTACATTGTCGAGTTAGAATTAAAAATTGGTTGAAGAGCATTAATCAATGGAAAAAGAATATGAAACATTAAAATACATATTAACCCAATCGGAGAAGGACAAGAGTCATGAAATTTTATAATTTAATAACGATATTAAGGAACTACAAAAAAAGTTGGAAGAAAAGGTAGCAGAGAGAAATTAACTATATTAATTGGTTGAAGCATCAGCTAACGAAGCCTCATCTAAGAATTTGAGTTTGGGAAGAATTCTAATGGCTATAGATAATTTATTTAATAGATGTTAGGAAGGAACCCAGAAGATTAAACATGAATTGGAAGAAACTAAATAGGAGAATAATAAAAAGGAGGATAAAAAAGTTAAGAAAGAGGACAGCAAGAAATAATAGAAAGATGAAAAAAAGGAAGAAGAAGAAGACAATTATGAAGTTAAAAGTTAATAGGCAATGTAGAAATTAAAGATTATATCTTTGTACTTAAATGATTTTAAAAAGATTATTTAAGGATGTAAGGAAGATTATAAAAAAGCTTAAAACAAATGATTTTAATTATATATATAAATAAATAAACTAGATTATCATTCCAACTTTTTAGTAACAGCAGTTAACAATTATTTTTTTTGTATTTATGACATTGGAAACCTTCTTGAAGAACGTGCTGTTTCTACTAAATTAATCATTTTATTTGGTGACATAATTTGTTTTTGAGGTGTTTCAGAATCACCTGAATCATCGAATTAAACATTTTTAGATGTCATTAATTCATTGAAATCCTTTAGTAATATTTGCATAATACTTCGCATTTTTGCTAAGTATTTTTATTTTTTTAATTTTATTTTTTACTTTTCTTCCTAAATTTATTCTGCAGCTTTATTGTAATGTTTATGAATTTTTGATGCTTCTTAGTAAAATTTAACTAATGAATTAAGTTCAGTTTAATTTAGAACATGTAAATCATTTTTAATGGTTGATTTAAAGGGTTCAAGTTCATTATTCATATTTTGTTGAAATTAAGCACAATTATCTTACAACTTAATCATATCATTATCAATTTGTCCTTTGAGATCTCCTTTGATCGAATTAAATTTTGATTTAATGCATTCAATGCAGTTGTCTAATTCTCCATCCATTTCCTTCTCCAAATCCTATTAAGGCGAGTTGGTAACCTATTGAAATTCAACTGCATTGATTTATTAAATAGATTCATTCACGAAATCTTTGAATTGAGTGGTTGTTTTTCTAACATGAGAAATGTGATCATCAAGAAAACAATCAGCACAACCTAAAATCTCAATAGCCAATACCTATTTTCTTTGGAATAGAGCATTAAGGATCGACACATACATATTTTATGCGTTAAGAATCGTGATTTGGATGTTAGCAATTAGTGATATCCATAAATTTAATATATTATTCAGCCGCCAATATATTCCCGGCTATTAAATTCAAATTTAGATGCAATTGTCTAATAAAATAAAGCAAACTAATTTGCACACATTCTATGTAATTGTATAGGTTTATCAATAAAATAATCTCCAAATCATCGGAGTTCTTAAAGTATAGATTATTATTCTATTCTCAATATATTTTATATATAAAATATATATATATTAAAGTTAATTAATCAAAATTATCAATAAAATTGATCAATCATTTTTAGACATATTGAAATGTGCTTTATCCTCTATTATGGTCGGATTTCATTTTTTTATTGTTTCCTAGATCAATCTCCAATTCAGATTCACTGCTTTCTTAGTCATGTAATTGTTAACTTGATCTCCTAATGTTTATAACCTAGAGTTGAAATATGAATGTTTAATACATTTGGATTTTTAGTAGGAATGCCCATAATGGGATCTTATTTGTTAGGAACTTTGATAGACTTTTTGAAATTGAATTGGTTTAACACTTTTAATTTGGTCACAAAGGCAAAGAATTCTTAAAGAAGTGTATTGTTTATTTAACACTAAGGAGGAGGTTTTGTAATAGTTTATGTAAATTGATGAAATTGATTGAGATATTCGTAATGTTTGATGCTTTCACAGTAGATCTCATAAAGACTCAAAGTATCGCTATTAGGTAGAGTAGCATATTAGTCTATGATTTTTTCAATTTCAGTACAAATGAACTTCTGAAATCTCCATACATCAACATACAGAGCTACTTGTATTTCTATTAAATTTGGATTGTATTGAATCAATATCAACCCTGAATTGATGAGATTTTGTATTTTATAATGCCATAAGAACATTAATTTTGCTTCGATCTGTTCTTTATCAGCCACATAGGGATAATTAAGTTTGAGTACAGCTCTGTATAAATCAACGTTAGCAGCCAATTTTTACAAATATACATAACATAATTAAGCATAGATTCTGGCTGGTTATGCTTTATCTTCAAATTCAGTCAAAATCTTTTGTGATTATTAATTCTTCTATACGTCAGGTTCTGTCTAAGTAGTATACCATTCCTGTTTTTCCAATTACACCCATGACATCTTTGTTTCCCTCAACTTAATTGCCACATCTTATATTATTTCATTATATTAAAATTGTTAATGTAAAGCTGCTAATAAATGCACTACTTAGACACCTTGAAGATCTTTGGACTTAGTTTCTAAAAACTAGAACAGAAACTCGATATGCTCTACAATATGATTATTTATTATTTACCATCCCTATCCAACAAATATTAAGCTAAAACTTCACCCTTCTGTTTGAGATCGAGTTTACCGTTGGAAGTAATTATTTAAGCTAATTTCTCTTGTAATTGTTGATTAATGGGAGTGCTTGAGGCCTAAGTGGTTTGATTAGAGCCAAAAATGGATGTAAATCTAGAAAAAAGTGACATTTATATAATAATTAATTCGGAACTTATACTTTAATGAAGTATTTTCAGGTCAACGGTAAGTGATAATTAATGAGCTACATGGGTATATAAGTAGATGGCCATATAAAATGTTTTTATATGTATTTAATGTAATATTGTATTGTATCAATAGACATTTCCTTCGAAGGTTTGTTTGAACCATTCAACTGCTTCTTTTTTAGTTACTCTTTGTTATGTGCCCAATTTTGAGTTTCTTGACTTTCTTTGAGCAACTCTGAGTCCTGGTCTAGACAAGACTACATAGAAGTCCATACCGAAGATACCTATTATTGGTTGTATATGAATAGAATACCTGTGTATGGATCATATTTCAATCCCAAATCGATGTGTTCTTGAATACCAAATCCGAAGTTTCCTGAATCAGAGAAGTTTCTCTTCTTCAATTCCATTTCCTTAACTCTCAAACCTCTTACAAGGATATCTCTTGCTTAATCGCCTCTGATGGTGCAAAAGACGGAGATCTTCTCATTTCTTCTGATACCAAATGATCTCACGGTATATCTTGCTTTGCCAAAAACAGGCTTTTATCCTGTAAGATCTTCCAAGACTTTAGCAGCCTTAGTCAATTTATCGCCTGATTCACCAGCACAAATATGAACCATCAATTTTTCAATTCTAATTTTTCTCATCACATTCTCTTTAGTTTCTTATGGTTTAGCAACTTTTGCTTATGCTGCTGGCTATTATTTAGCCTCTGTTTTAGGTTATGCTGCTTTTCCACCCTTTTGAGCTTATTAAGACATCTTATTTCCTCAAATTAAAATCAAAAAAAAATCTTTATATTTGAAATATAAACAGATCGAAGATATTAAACATAATAAATAATTTGTTAATATTATATATGTACTATTCTTTATACTGTAATATATCATTCTTGCTAGACTTATTATTATTATTCTTTGTCGACTTCTCCTTGCTTAATAAGATTAAGAGCAGTTTAATCTTCAGCCTAACCCTTTCTTCTGATTTAAGCTGTCTTTGTTCTGTTGGAATCGTCATAAAATTCTCTCAATTTTTAAGCTAGAGTTAATTAATTAAACAAATGTACCATCAACCTTGGGTCTCTTGACTAACTTGACTTTTCTCAATGTAATGTTTTATAATGGGAAAATAGTTCTGGTGGCTTTTCCGATTTCTTTGGCAAGAACCTCTTGATTGAAGAAACCAAGCAATTAGGTAATTGATTTTTTGGAGACTTCTCTGAGGACGATTTCGACGATCTTCTTTCTGATGTCCTTGATTTGGCTTCTTTGAGCATATGTAGTTTTTCTTTATTGGTTTTTGATTGACTTTGTAAATGCAATGACAAAGATTCTGAGGATGTATCCATCTTGAGATCTGGCTTCGACTTAGGTCTAGAGAATGAGATACTAAAATACTTCGATCAAAGTTTATCGCTTTTTAATCATACCGAAGATCTTGTCCTTTGTTGAATCAAGACCATAGAAGGAGGTTCTGCATCTTGTACCTTCGACGTCGTCGATAATCAATTTCACTTTTCTCCATGCCATCTAATCTGATTGTCCTTGGAGGTCAGCCAAAGAGGCCTCGACGACTCTTCCTTTGATGGCTTCGGTGGCCACAACTTAAAACTTTAATTATAATCAGGTACCTGTTCCTGCAGATTTATTAATGCAAGTATAGCCAAATCCACCAGCACTGAAGGGCACAGGTGCTGTTAATTCAAACCACTCCTTTCTGGCCAATGGGTCGATGGTCTTCTTTTATCCCTTCTTCTTTCCTAATTTCTTATTCTTTCCTTGAGTCATGCAAAAAGATTTTGATTTTTTTTAATTTTTTCAAAAATTTATTATCCCTCTCATCCCTAGCCCTTAAATAAATATAAATTATTTTATATATTATGAGACAAGATAGTCCTCGCTTCAGAGCAGCCTTGCTCTATTCCATTGAACAGGAAAGAAGCAAGAAATTGATGGATTTCAATGAACTCCTCAAGGAAAACGAACTCACTTATCTCAAATTCGCATTCAAAACTGAAGAAAGATAAGAAAATATTTATATCAAGCAATTTTAAAAGGGCACCAATTTCCAGAGAACAGGTTTCATATTTATTGTAACCTCAAGGGACAATGAATATTTGTGATCTCTGGTCAAATGCTTAAATCAATAGGTATTTAGATATCTCTAGATTTACCAAAGATAAATTCTTGTTACAAAAATTGGCTAAACAAAATAATAAATTCACTTACATTCGTAAACCCAGTCCCTTTTTCTCTTAAACCCCCAGACCTCAACCCGTTGAAAAGAAGGACCTCAAATCTATAATCTCAGAATTAAATTCCTTGCACAAAGAAAATAACAAACTACGATCTTAAATTAATCGAAAAATTTATTGTAAAACAGTCTAATTCTGAAAATCTAAGCATATATATCACACAAATTTCATAAATTTCTTAATCATCTTCATCTACTTTTTATTCAACTCTTTCTTTGAACATTTCTTTTATGCACATTCCAATAATTCTTCTGCTGCCTCACTCTTTATTTTAACACAATCCTCCGCCTAGGTTCAAAAATATCGATTTACTTCCTTTATTTATTACGCAGTGGGGTTATCTTAAGGAGCACACTCAGAAATAGCTTCAAAACATTCATAATCTTCAAAGCATTCATTAATTTGAACTCCACATTTTTCGTTTAAACATGCATTATCTTCATCTATAGCTTTATGTTTCTTTGAGAAACATGCCAGTAGTATCAAGCTGATAAGGAAAATCTTATTCATTATTTATATAATGACTCTAAAGATAGTCAATCTTAACTTTAAATAGACATTATTATTTTTATTCTATGGAATAATTAACAATTAATAATTTGTATAGAATCTCAAAATAATTGAGTTATAGAATTATTATAATCTTACTAAATATGCAAATATTATTTAAATTATAATGGGAATTTGCAATTATAATTATATTTTAGATTTATTATATCAAATTAATGCAGGCGACAGTTTAGATTAAACATCTCCAGTAAGTGCGCAAAGAAATCATGAACTCCAAAAGTTACTCTGAAGAATAGCAACACAAAGATGATTTTGTAAATAATAATTGTTATTAATCCATTTAAGATGAGAAAGATGAGACACACATTAGCAAATGGGATCATATCCTCATACAAAGAACTCGTGATTTAAAACCAAATCTATAATTATGACTTCAATGGTTATTTAATTTAGAAATACGTAACTTACATGTTTAAATTTATAAATAGAAACGAGGACCTCTTCATCTGGTTTGTGAGAATGGCAGAATTACACTCATTAGGTATTTTATAGAGAACAACCTATTTGACATTAACGAGATATGCGATGGTCACACTCCTCTGAGTTTGCTATCACTTTATTACATATAAACCCCAGAGAAGTGCACATCAACGGAAACTTTGGAATTGATGTTTGCCAAAGGAGCAGATCCCTTATTGTATGTGGATAAAAATGGGAATACTCTAAATGATTACTGTAATATGATTAAGAAACAGTCAGAAGAACCACTTAACCTTGTTCTGTAGTATATCCAGAATTTCTATTTAAAGAAACAGAGGGAGTAGGCATTGAAGAATGCTATCTTGCTATCCATGTGTGATAATCAAAATAATAACAACAATTTAACAAATTTACTGAACATCGACGATATGAAGCAAATTGCATAATATCTAGTTGGTCCCATATAATATCAAATTGATTAATGACAATATATTAAAAATAATCAATATATTTTAATTAATAATGATGAATATTTTATATGCATGAACCATGATTGCAAAATATTACAATGATAGGCCTGATATTATACTATTGTCTTTTTATTCAATATTTTTAAAATATGAAACTAATTTAAATTGCAATTTTATTGTCATTTTTGACAATTTTATTGAGCAAAAGAATTCACCTAAACGAACAGACACAATAATGCATAAGAGAGAAATGTCCAGAATAATTGAAATTATGCTACGATGACATGGCCTGTCAATTACAATTAAATAAATGCAGACCCAAAGTCGACAAGCCTCCCAAATAAGGTAGCAAGAGTAAGCCATTCTCAAATGTACTATGTAAGACAAATACTTATCAATTATTAGCCTGCCTGAAAAAGAACGATAATTCGTACAATTTGATTGACTGCGCATATTCAAATTGTGAAAAGAGTTCCCAATCATAATTATATGAGTAGTTATTGAGTAATATTTGATGATTCAAGTGAAAGGTCGAATTATAAGACCCTACATAGACATATAAATAACTTATAAGATCAGAAAGTATAAATTTAAATTCTGCACATAACATATAAAAAATCAGATCTTTAATTGTTGCAATTCCTCTCTGCTATCTCTATTTTCTATTGGGTACACTTTTATGCTTCCTATACTAGTATGATTGATTTGATGATAAGTTTTGATGGTAAGGCTAGGTATTAAAAGATCAGATACTTTTTTGAACTCGGCTAAGCTGTTTGAATGGTCTCTGATTAGATTTTGATCCATTTTTCTTTGGCTGCATCAGCTGTTACAGGATTCCGACGATCGTAATCATCATAGAAAGTCAGAAACTTTTCATCATAGGATTCAACAGTAGCATTATCTATTCCTAATTCCACTATGCATCCACAAATCGATTGAATCGGAACTAAATAATGTAAAGTAGAAAGTCCTAATTGCACCCAAGTAAGGATATGTACTTCGCCATAATTAATCCATTCCCAAAACGTACAACCTAACTATTATATTGGATATCAAGGATCGATTACCGAAAAAATCATAAGAATCAATTCTATATAGAAATCTATCATAGCCTCTGCCATAGCACTCCCTGTTGGTGCAGGTTTAGAGTCTCTTCTCAATAGTAGAAATTTCTCAGTCCAATAAATACAAACAATAGATCCAAAGGTAAAACATACACCAAGAGGTAACAAAGATGCATAGAGGAATGCTAGCATCAGAGTTTTGGATAGCTGAGCATACTTTTATGATAAGTCGATTGTAGGACCTTCAAAGGCTCTTGTATTATGATAAATAAAATACTGATTTGCTTCATTTTATGTGTATTTACAATTAGTTCCTTATTTTAAAATTTTGTTTCTGACATACAATTTGTAAAAGTAATTGACATCAAACAAGAGAGTGAACCATGGAACTATAGAATTAGTAATGAAAATCAACATGATATCAGTATTAAGACCTCCAATTTACCAAATGGCTTGATTAAGAGTCACAGATTTATCTTTGATCACAAGATTAATAATTAAGGTGAGAATGGCAGTATTAAGAAATTAAGCTACACCCATTTTGTATGCTACACTTACATTATAGTCCGTTCGAGTAGCTTGTTATTCAAGTTCTACAAATTTAATAATCATTTTTGCGAGTACACTATTAATGACTGAAATGAGAATTGATGAAGCAATCCCAATGATATTGACTATGATTGAATCAATCAAAGATCCTTCTTCAGTATAGTTGTTGATAATGGATTAAATGTAAGATAATCCAAAGAGACATCCGAATCCCAAGATAAGTAGGAATAAGGTCATTCCATTGGTTACTAGAGTTCTTTTATATTATTCCCTAATCGTAATACCAAGATTGCCCCAAATGATATCTCCAGGTTCTGGTGCCTTTTTCACGTATAAACTGTTATTGCGATACTTTTGATAATGTTTTTATTCAAATCCCATTTATTCAAGTAGAATTTAAAATTTAGTACATTTAAATGTCTTACAAACATTATCGGCCTATCTCTCATAATTGTAGGAGATAACGCATATACCACTAAAATCAAATAGATTTTCTTTATGATCTTCCATGTAATCCAATTCTTTAGATATTGTACTTATTTCTGATTCTAATTGCAGTCTTGATGGGATAGATTTAGGAATTGACTTGCCCTCGGCTTCTAATTCTAATACTTTTGTTAGTACTGACTCTTTAAGTTATTTCTACTTGTTCAACTTTAGGTAAGGTTGTATTTCATATGCAATGCACAATTTCCTCAATTCCACAGTTTCATTTTAGAAGGTTTGTGTGAAGAAGTGATTTAGCTCATTTTCCTTTGCATCTCTAGGAATGTTTTCTACAAAGATTGAATAATCAGACGCCAAGATGGCTGCGTCATCCAATTCCATAGCTATTTTATTGATGTGTCTCCTGTAAAATAGAGTGGTGAATAGGATGCAAATAAGAGATATGAAATTCAATAGGCTTCGAACATTGTCCAACTATCTAAAAGTAGTGATAAACATTTACCCGTCATCGTTGGTAAGAGAAAATTAGTTGAAAAAATTTAACTAACATTTGTCTGTTCTACTATCGTCTAGATTATCACACCTGTGTCCTTGGATGTTGATGTATATGTTATATCCACAGCATATAGCTCTGCATTAATTGCAATATTGTACATATACTAAAATATGATGACACCAGAGAAGACAAGGAAATCAAAATATAATGCTATTCCAGAACCATTGAAACTGAATTCTTTTCGAGATGAACAGAGAGGTAATTCTTCTATTACTGTAGGCAATCCACAACATGGACAAACATTGGTTTTGTCCAGATCAATATTAGGATCAGTTTTAGCAAATTTGGTTGCAGCAGCATGCATTAATGCAATGTCTATTTTGGGGGGTCTTTGAAAATCATTATAGATTGCTTCCAATTGTTATTCTTCATTTTAGGTGACTCCAATCACCTACAATACTTAATTTAGCATTATTATATAAATAACTAATTTTACAATCCGAAAAACAAAATCATAAAATAAAGAATGAATGTTTATCCCAAATATAAAACTAATTTAGTTGCTAAAATACGCACTATTTCATTTTATAATCATTATTTAAGAATAATTTAAAATTTTAGTGCGTGATTAAAGATTTATTTTAAAAATAATGGAATTTGTGACTGCTCTTGTCTTCATATTCATAGCATGTGCTTGTGGAATAGCCTGGGCCATCTTTAATTGGTTGGCAGTCCACAAAATTGAAATCCATCACAAGCATGAAGGATTGAACGAGAAGCTCTAAGGAGATTAATAGGAGAAGATAGAAACTCTCTTAGAAATTGGAGAGCATATCACAGATGTAACCCTCTTTATTTAATGACCAAGGGAGCCAAAGCCTTTCTAAAAGAAGAGTACACAGATTGCAGTGTGTTTATCGCCATTATGGCAGTAGCATTAATAGTATGGAAAATTATATATTATTCAGTTTGTGTCTCCCTGGTCAACCTTGGCATTTGTATTAGGTGCTGCAACTTCAATGCTCTGTGGATATTTAGGAATGTCAATTGCCACTGCTGCAAATTACAGAACTGCATTTTGTGCAATCACATCACTATCAGATGCCTTTCAAGTATTATATGATGGATAATCTTATTTAGATGGCCTACAGAGGAGGTTGTGTTATGGGATTCCTTTTGGTTTCCATTTCCTTGTCGATTCTATCATTAATTATAATCATCTACAATAGTGTTTTGGTGAAGGATAACAATCAAGAAGATCTGATAAGCATGTTCGATTACGTGGCTGCTTATGGTTTAGGTGGTTCTACCTTCGCTTTATTCGGTAGAGTGGGAGGTGGTATTTATACAAAGGCTGCTGATGTTGGAGCTGATTTGGTCGGTAAAGTCGAAAAAAACCTCCCTGAAGACAGTCCTAAGGTAATCAACGCTATTATCTTAGAATCCGGCTACTATTGCAGATAACGTAGGTGACAATGTTGGAGACATTGCAGGAATGGGAGCTGATCTATTTGGGTCATTTGCAGAATCAACTTGTGCTGCTTTAGTAGTCTCATCTACTCAATTAAGGGTTATTACTGAATAAGGTCCCATTATTCACATTGGTTAATTGATGTACCCATTAGTGGTATCTGCATTCGGCATTATTATTTGTATTGCTGTCTCTGGATATGCGGTATTTATATAGAAAGTTACACACATAAATAAAATTGAATCATCTCTTAAATTACAGTTATTGTTATCAACCGTGGCGTTGTCACCAATACTTGTTGGAATAGCTTATTGGTGTTTACCTTCAGATTTTGTAATGATCTCAGCTACCTTTGAGATAGAAATCGGATCTCTTAAACCATGGCATGCGTTAGTCTGTTCATTAATGGGATGTATGCGTTAATAATAAAATTATAGTATGGTCTGGATTACTCATTGGATATTTCACTGAATACATGACATCGCATTCATATACTCCAGTTAGAGAAGTAGCCAAGGCTTGCGGCACAGGAGCAGCAACAAATATCATATATGGATTGGCTTTGGGATACTTATCTACAATTGTTCCTATTGTTGCAATAGCCTTAACAGCCTTATTGTCAATGAAATTGTTGTCCTTTTATGGAGTTGCTTTGGCTGCTCTAGGTATGTTGTCCAATCTCACAATTGGTTTGGCAATTGATGCCTATGGACCCATTTCAGATAATGCTGGAGGTATTGCTGAAATGAGTGAATTGGGAGAGGAAGTCAGAACATCAACAGATGCTTTGGATGCAGCTGGAAACACTACTGCAGCCATAGGCAAAGGATTCGCTATTGGATCTGCAGCCCTTGTTTCTCTATCCCTTTATGGAGGTTACTTAACTAGAATTTAAACGTACAACAAGAACGGAGTATACCCCTATGCAGAAGGAGCTAAGATTGACGATCCAATCATATTTGCAATGTTATTGATTGGAGCAATGTTGCCATATGCCTTTTCTGCCTTCACCATGAAATCAGTTGGCAAAGCTGCTCTTTAAATGGTTGAGGAAGTTCGAAGATAATTGCATGAGCATCCTGGTATCTATGCAGGAACAGAGGAACCAGATTTCAGAGCATGCATTGCAATATCAACAAAGGCCTCGTTAAAGGAAATGATACCCCCTGGATTGCTGGTAAGTATATTTGTATAATAATTCTAGGTGATTGTGACTCCCACTGCTGTTGGATTGTTATTTGGACCACAAGCTGTTGCTGGTCTTTTACCAGGAGCTCTGATTAGTGGTGTGTAGATGGCTATATCTGCTTCGAACACAGGGGGAGCTTGGGATAATGCTAAAAAGTACATTGAGGCTGGGTTCTATAAAAACGATTTAGGAGAAGTCAAGAAGAAAGGATCTGACGAACACAAGGCTGCAGTTATCGGTATTGGATATGTAGAATTTTAGGTGATACTGTTGGCGATCCTTTGAAAGACACATCAGGGCCTTCTTTAAATATTCTTATTAAACTTATGGCTATCTTGTCATTGGTTTTGGCTGAAACATTTTGTAAGACTGGCTGGTTATATAAAGATTGATGTTATTAAATTGTAGCTTTTTCAATTGGATTTCATAATAAAATATTTAATGAATAAGTTTATTTATAACATTTAATGAATTCTAAATATTTCTCACCAAAGGCGAATTAACAATTCTTTGAAAAGCTTCCTCAGATGCTCTCGGCAGGGAGGTCTAAACTATATCGAATAAGATTTGATTCAATTTTTAATGAGTACTTGCATAGGAAGGCAGATCATTTCCAATTGGAACCAATTATGCAAACGAATATAACAGATTAAATAAAAGAGAAGGTTGAGAAGAGAAGGAGGACATATGAAAAGAGACACACTTCTACTTAATTAAGTCCGCTTGCCCATTTTCATATCCAGCCAAGTCCTTAAGTAAAAAACATGTAAAGACATATTTCGAGAGGTAGGCGAACCAGATTTGATGTATAATTAAATTAATCATATATGTGAAATATTTTTAATAATAATTAATTTATGATTTCCAAAGAGGAAGCAAAGCAACAGGATCAAAGTAAGAAAGCATAAAAGAACAAAAATAAAAAGAAGGAAGCCAAAGGAAACAATAAAAAGAATCAGAAGGAGGTTGATTCCGATGATGACTTCTTAGATTAATTAATATAATAAAATTAAGAAGCTTAGAAATAGTAATAAATTCAATAATAATAATAACAACAATAAATAATCTAAGATAAGAAAAAGTAATTGGGACCAGATTACGTTGATGGCGATCCCATTGTATATATTCTTAATTAAATTTAAAGACTAATTCGAGATTCGTGGATAATTCCGGGATCAGAAAGCTAGGCAATTGGGAAGAGAAGGAGTGGAAACAAACTCAACCACCCACAATTCCAGTTTCCAAATAGTTTCCTTAAGGTGTGTATCCAAAAGGATAAGAAATCCCATATTTGGGTGAGAAGTCATCAAGGATCAGCAAAGATGAAATGAGAGAAAAGGATTTGATTCATGAACATTAATTGTAATCCTTAAGAAAGGCAGCTGAATGTCATAGATAAGTGAGATAATATGCTTAGGCTAAATTGTTGAAGCCAGGAAACAAGTAAATTGTTATGATTACATGTGTAGATTGATTGATATTTGCGAGAAATTGGAAGATATGAATAGATACTTGGTGGAGGAAAACGGATTAAATGCAGGTATAGCATTTCCAACAGGTTGTTCCTTGAATTTCTGTGCTGCACATTACACACCAAATAATGGAGACAATACTATTTTAACATATGATGATGTTTGCAAAATAGATTTTGGAACATAAGTTGATGGATGGATTATTGATTGTGCATTCACAGTTGCATTCAATCCAGTCTATGATACATTATTATAAGCAGCTAAAGATGCTACTGATACTGGAATCAGGAATTCTGGTATTGATGTTAGATTAGGAGATGTGGGAGCAGCAATACAAGAGACTATGGAGAGTTATGAAGTTGAAATTGGAGGCAAGGTTTATAAAGTTAAATCAGTAAAAAATTTAAATGGACATTTGATATGTAAGTATCATATTCACGGGGGTAAAAGTGTTCCAATTGTCAAATCAAATGATAACACTTTAATGAAAGAAGGAGAACTCTATGCAATCGAAACATTTGGATCAACTGGCAAAGGATATGTAAATGAAGATTTGGAATGTTCACATTACATGAAAGATTTCTATGCTAAACCTACTGCCGTTAGAGTTCCAAAGGCTAAATCACTCTTAACTCACATTGACAATCATTATGATACATTGGCATTCTGCAGAAGATTCTTAGATAGAGATGGCTAATCCAATTATTTATTGGGATTGAAGAATCTATGCGATCTTGGGATTGTTAACCCGTATTAAATTATATATAATATCATAGATATCCTCCTCTTTGTGACATCAGGGGTTCTTATGTGTCATAATATGAGCATACTATATTCTTAAAGCCAAGCTGTATAGAAGTCATTTCTAGAGGTGATGATTATTGAATTAATATATGTCACATTATCTATAAATGCTTAGAATAGCTTTAATAACACAACTTGATGTATATTTTAATTATAATTAATATACTTAATCACAAATCTTCCTTCCTTACAGCACTACTGTTATTTTCTATGAACTTAGCCAATGCTTCAGCTGTTCTTTCTGATTAATACTTTATTTGCTCTGGCTTATCTTGTCCTTTCTTAAAGAATATCAAAGTAGGGAATCCCTTGATATCAACAGCACTTGTCTAATGATTAGTCCAATCCATTTCAGCAATGAGTACATTCTAATTGTCTTTCAAATTCTAAGCAAGTGTTTTATATGACTCTGCCATAGCTTTGCAATGTCCACACCAAGGAGCAAAGAACTTCACTAATACATCTTATTTGCTATTCAAAACAACATGATCAAAGTTCTCGCTTGTTAATTCTATAACTGTGCCATCACTCTTTATCTCACTGAATTCAGGCTACTTCTTCTCTGCACTCTCAAATTTACCCAAATTTCTTTCTAAGAATGATTTCATCCCTTAGAAAGACCTATCTCCCTCATACTCTTTCCTTGTCTTGGTGTCACCTTCTTATTTAAATAGATATAAAGTAGGATATCCTTCAATGGGAATATCATCAAACTGATTTTCTGTATGATCTACTTCAGCAATTACGATATCATCTCTATTTAATTCTTTGGCCAATTTCTCAAAAGTGGGTGCCAAAGTCTAACAATGACCACACCATGGAGCATAGAATTTAACGAAAACGTGTCTATGATTTTCAAATACTTATTCTTTGAAATTCTCTTTTGTCAATTTATGTACTTATCCATCACCTCTTATTAAATTAGCTAGTCTCTCTGCTTCTCTTTTTGGTGCTTTTACCTCTTCTATTAAAGTTTCAATAGCCCTCTTTAATGTTCCAACTGAATCATCATTAAATGTTGCAGTGGTTGTTGTCTTTGTACTAATTATCTAATTAATATATTTACTCGTAATCATAGTAATAGATTGTCTTTTAAGCGACAGGACTTTGTTTAATCAAATATTCAAATCTTCTATTGCACAATTCAAGACTTGGGTCTATTATCACAAATCTAACCGAATTAGCATATGACTCAGCAATGTATTTAAGTCTTTTGTAGAGAACTCCATTTTTTTATCCTGCAATTCCAACCAAAGGAATCTTATCATTTTCTACCTTCATGAATTCCTCCTCATTCAAGGAGAATACCAGTGGATAACCTTTTGTTGAAATGAACTCTGATAAGCCGTCTAGTTCCCCATTATAATGAAGTGGCTTCTCAAGGTCCTTGTTTATCAATGTGTATTTGTGAGGGTGATTTTAGCTTAACGCGGCATTCTCTACTATCCCAAATTTAACCTATACATGATCCAAACTCAAAGTGGATAAGTCATCCTAATTGAATACATATTTCAGAACTGCAATATTTGATCTTTTTAAGAACAAATCAATCTATTCGAATTATAAATGTTAAAGATACCTCTTCTTAATTATATAGTTTTGTAATAGGATCGTAAGCATGCTACAAAGCGAATTCAAATAGTATTTCTAAAGAATCTGAAGAATTTGGAAAGTCATTTACCAGACCATTCCTAAACATCTTCATTGTGGGATAAGCATTGGCACCATATTTAGTTGCCAAGGATTTACTATCTTAGACATTAACTTCTCCTAATACGAATCCGTACTCCTTTAATCTTTAAGCCAATTAGATGAACACTGGTTTCATTTTTTAGCTGCGATTTAATAGATATTCAATACCAGTATCCACAGGTGTCAATGTAAAATTTGACCAATAATCTTGGATGTTCGTCCAAAGCTTACTAGAAATTTCTACGGCTTAATTGCAATATTCCATCAACCTCTGGAATTTGTTCTGTTGAAATAACGAAAAAGGTTAGTGCTAGTAATAAAAGGAATTTCATGTTGTTTTTTAAATATTAAATTTTCTTGCGTGTATTTTGCTGTTAAAATGAAGAATTTTCTAGATTCTTTATAAGCTAATAAATTAAATAAATAAATTTTATATTCATTGTTACAAAACCATTTTCTCAAACTTTCTATTAGAGTTACCCCTTCATGTTTTTTTATTATTGCTCCTCTTGATCTAGTAAATTAATTAATTGATTGTATACTCTTTTTCAATTTTGGTTGGATTTGATACATTTTAATTTGATTGCTGTGAGGTATGTCATCCTCTTCATTAACATTGTAATCGTTCTCTTCTAAGATGCATTCCTGCTTTTAAACTTTCAATGATTAACTCTACTATCTTGATGTAGACGAATTCTATTCTTCCCTTTGTATGTCTGCTGTGTTGGATTTGCTCCTCATCTAAGGGGTTATACACAATGGGGAATAAATGGATTAATTGAGCTCCTGTCCCATTAAGGGTGTTTTGGCATACAATTAAGAATTCTTTTTGTACCTTGGGTAGGTGTCAGCCCTTTTAAATATAAATGAAATTTACAATATTAATTTATGATCAGCTTATTTCTAAAACCATGGATATTGAAGAGCTAATTCAGAACTGATTCTCAAATCTGGATTCTTTTCGAGTAATGACTTTAATAGATGCACTGCTTCTTCACTGAGAGGCTGATTATTGATCAAATTGAATTCTATCTAACAATGGTAGTTTTTCATCACGATCTCATCATATGACTTAGCTTTGAATGGAGATTGACCAGTCAACATAATGAACATCAGCACTCCAGCACTAAAAATGTCAATTTTGAAATCGTATATTTCATCTTGAAGTAACTCTGGAGCAACATAGCCAGGAGTTCCACATCGCTTAAACATGTAATCACCTTCAGGATTGTAAAAGTCAGCCAGTCCAAAATCTGCTATGACCAAATCGGCTATATCCTTTTTGGATCTTAATATCAAGTTCTCTGGCTACATTATTATCATCTTTTCATTACCTTTATATCTCGATGCAGCACTCCCAAGGAGTGGATATAATCTATTGACTGCAGTATTCTAAACATTATGTGGGCAACTGTCTTCTCGTCGTACACCTTGCCCTTCATTTGGTTAAACAACTCTCCCCCTTCTAGCAATTCACATACCAAAAATATATAATTGTCGTTTTCGAACACTTCATATAATTTTATTACACCCACAAAGTCCATTTTCCTCATTATTGATAATTCCTTAATGAGAGCTGGCTAGACATTTATATATTTTATCTACCTTATCAACTCTGATATCTTAAAATTTGAGCTTGTCAAAGGCCTTTACAGCATACATCGAGTGATCACTCTTTTTGGATGCACTGTACACCTTGACTTATTCGATAATGCTTTACCTTTGCGAAATTCCCCTTCCCAATTAATTTATTTATAGTGTAGACATTGTTGAACCCCTTCTAAACGCATAATGATTTCAAGGAATCATACCACATTCCCTAAGCTTATTCATTATGAGTGAACAACTCAACTGATTTTCGATTCTTTGTCAATTTAAAACCTGTATTTTTAATCTTCTCCAGGGTGATATTTTGTAGATCTATATATTTCTTCGAACATGCCAATTTTCCATCCTAAATAAAGTAGTTGTTCTCCTTTTAAATTCCCAATTTCGAATTCTTCATCAGCATTCCACTAATTATTGGATCTGATGCTTAAATCACTTCTTTCATCCATAAATTTGATTTTGGATCATCGAAAAACGAAGCTTTTGGTAAATTCATCGATACTTTTTTTAAATTTGTAAAATCAATTTATTCAATAAATAATTTGCGTCTAATTATGATTAAATCTTGTTAAATACACATTTAATTTCTCCTGTAAATTATATCATTTTTTAACATTCAATTAACACAATATTCTAATAGCCATCATTATTAATTTTCTTTTTCATGTTAATAAACAGGATCTTAGACAATTACTATACTTTTTTTATAGTGTTTTCCAAAAGGATATTTCCTATTTTGGGTAAAATGATGAATGTTGTTACTTATAATAAATAGAGTTGTATAAAATCTAGCTTGAAAAGACTATTGTTTTTAAGTGAAAACTAAATAAACAAGTTTGATTTTTTCACTTTCTTAATAATGGAATATTATTCTTAATAAATTGTTTTTATCTTATTATAATTAGTCTATCTCTGATTTTATAGATAACGTTTATCTCAAATGATATTCTGAAAATATTTTTTGCAGGAGTTATATTTATACTATTTTTAATTACAGATAAAGGTTTAGTTTAGAGTATTCAAGAACCAAATTTTAACTAAAATCATTAAATTATAGCAAAGAAAGAGGAGAAATAGATAAATTATTTTTTTAAATTCAGATGAAAACTTGATTTTCTATATTTATAAGTCTAATAATTTCCATTAATTAATTGAGCTAATGAATTCACTTATGATAGTATTTTCTTTAATTAAAGCTAATATTGACCAAAGCTCTTATCGATTATTTTTATCAAAAATAGTAATCAACATCATTAATAGTTTTATTATATTTTTCTATTTGTATCATTCTAAAATAAAGATAAATTAGGACATATTTAAAAGCTTGGAATGAATGAATCTCTCTAGATAAGCAATTATTGATGAAATTTAAGATGATTAATATATCAACCAGTATAGTTTCTCCAAGCTCATAAATGAAGTTGCTCTATATAGGTATATTATTATAAAATAATGATAAACTATTTAATCAATGAAAATAAATTATAAATTATTTAATTAAAAATTAATTGTTTGGTTATTAAATATATATAAATGGATTCTTTAAAGGAGAGAAAATTAATAGTAAATATTGAATTGATTATATTAACTATTAAATTTCTTAAATTATTCATTTAATACTATAAATGGAAGAAATTAATTAATTTAAATCAAAGATATTATCAAAAATATGAGAATAATAAGTTTTTCTGCTGCATCTATCCAAATAAATAACTTTTCGTTACGCTCTTTATAAAAAAAATTCCTTTTTTTATTTGAGAAATTGGTTGATTTATGTAAGCTTTGCAAAAGCTAAAATACTTATTTCAAATGTTAAAATGCAGGTGCGATTAAAGAGAATTTGAATTAGGAGATATCATATTATAATGATAATTAAAGAGATATATGATGTCAAATAAGAAGATGAATAGGTTATCAAATAAGGTAAAATGATTACCTATAGAGAAATGACTATACACTGAAGTGGATTAAGTGGATTAATGAATGGGAAGAGAATCAAAAAAGGGAAACAGAAATTAAATAAAAATTAGATATTTAGGATTTAAGTATAAAAATAAATATTCTTAAATATCTTTATCGAGAATCATTTATTTTTTCTTAAATAGCAATTCTTGGTATTATTATATTGCAAGGAAATTAAAATCCTTAAATAAATGGAGTATATTATAAGGAGGTTTAGGAAGTTTAACTGTAGAGCAAATTTGATTTAAAATAGTGTTTTTGAAATATAAATATATTTATTATTTTATTTAATGAATTTAAGGTTGATGCTGGGTATGGCATCTAGATTAATAAGTGCATCTAGACCTTTAACTTGGATGCAATACCCATAACTGCATTTATATGCAAATCTGTTAAGCATGGGTTTCACGAAGCCCATATTGCCTGATACTTCAATATTGACAATCAGCACTTTCAGACGAAAGCCTGCTAAGCTTAAGAAAGCCAAAAGAAAGCAAAGAAGAAAGAAGATCAAACGAATGAATAAAGCCAATAGAGAGAGACGTAACTATTGAGTAAATATTAAACACATATAAATATTATTGTACTTATATCTAAATATAAATTGATCAAATTTCTAGACGCTTTTCACTAACATAAATTCCATCCAAGAATTGTCTGATATCCTTATTCTTGACGGCACAAGCTTAATGAATAAGAGCACAGGTGAGTGATACATTGTTCAAATCATTACCTTAGAGTGTCAAGACATCTAGAGAGTGTATATGATTATTAAATACTCTTTTCTTCTTGTTCATTTCTTGTGATTGTGACTCCTGGAAGACATTTGATTGTTCTGATGATCTTTTCACCAAGGAAATTCTTGATTTCAATTCCCAAACCCTTATCTAAAAGATTGATAATGATTGGAAAGTGAGCATATGCCAACACCATCTTGAATTTATAACCAGTGGTCACACCTCTAATCATGTTTCTGATTGAGGAGGCAACTGAATTAACTTGGCATCTTTATTTTCTATATGATTGCCACATTCTAACACTGACTCTAGACTTGGAAGTATTGGTTTTCTTGTTCACCTTTTTTGACACTTAGATATCTAAAGCAGCATGTCTAAAATTTTTAGTCAATTCACCTCTTGGTCCTAAGATTCATTAATTTGCACTATTACCTTTTACTTTGACCAACTTGGACTTGGTTGTGATTTCAATCTTCTCAGGAATTGCAACATGCTCCTCAGTCAGGATGTATTTCATATCTTTTAATTCTTTTAATTAAATTTTTGAAGTCTCAACCCGTAATATTAATTATTACGATCATTATACCATAAGATTATTTTGATTGTGCATCTTGTAAACAATCACAAAAGGTATCCTACCTCTACATACAACTCTGTATCACCAATATCTAAATTTAAATTAATTATTATGTCAAATTAAACTAATCTCATTAGGGAGCTAATAGAAAAGCTAACCCAACAACATAAGGACTACAAACTATTTAAATAGCTCATAAAACGTTAGAGTAAGGCTCTTGAATAATATAACAACGAAATGATTTAAATAAGCCGCTCATATAATAGTGATCTATTTAATGGAATCCATTATCATATGTCTCACTTCCAAAGCGACTTATAAAACCAATACGCTCTACTCAAGGAACTAGGCAAACACTTCTATGAAATTAAATAGGAAGTATTGTTCTGTATTTAAATTAGGCGCAATATTACTCCAAAAATTATACTAAATTTGAATTAAAACTAAATTCTACTTCCAATGCTTATGATGAAAACTCCATGAAAGTCAAACAAACACTCTAAGAAACAACTAATTTCTGGGCTCAGAAATAAGAATACTCAGTCATCAGAATTAATGACATGTCTAATAAAGGAGAGGAAATCATCAAAAAAACTAATAGTTTAATTTATAAATTTTCTGAAAAACATCTTTTCTTCATTGACAATTACAAAACATGCTCTGGAAGAAAAAGCAGAAATTCATCTTGTAATCGAACATCTAGTTCCATGTAGTCTGCTTTGAAATCAAAAGAAACAACAAATATTTATTAAGACAAAAGTATCGACTAAACTAATTGTTTTTAAGTTGGATAATCAATTCAAGATTTTGAATCTAATTTTAATACTTTAAGTATCATAGAAAAGGAATAAAGTTAACTAGAAGAGAGACGTAACTTAAAAAGATGGACTTGAATTAATTATAAACTTTATATATATAAATACTAAATATAATTTTATACTGTTTAGTTCATTTTAAAAACAAAAGAACGATTATTTCTACAATTCTTATTATATAAGAAATAAAAGGGATTTAGATCTAATCTGCTTAATTATTTCTCATAGTTACTGAATTATATTATAAATTAAGCCAAATTTCTAATTTAATTATTAATTATTATATCGAAAGACTCGACAATGTCTGGGAATTAGAAAATAACGCAGAGGAGAATCACAATATCCTCTGAATTGGCAAGTCGTTCGATATCCTTAGCATAAATATACCAAGGTATTTGCATAAATGAAATAGATTCAAATTAATACATTAAATATGATAATAGGAATTCAATAAAATAATTCAAGTTTTCCTAGCAAGCATCACCTTTGAAGATTGCTGCTTCTCGTTCTAGAATTCTAGAAGAAAGGTAGAATATTATTAATTCTGAAGAGAATTAGATCAATCATTTTGTCTAAGTAACCAATATTTTACAGAAGACTCTTTGCCTTCCATAAATGTTGTTGATAAATTTAACGATTCATCTGAGAGTAATTCGGAAGGTGATTCTAAAAAAGAACAAAAAAGCCAGAAGTCTAAGAAATAAAAGACAAACTAATTTATAGGTGACAATGAAAAATAAGATAATTTTCTAAACGAGGCATTATAAATATCCACTAAATTTTTTGATGCTCAAATTGATTTAGAAAAAATAATTCGAAAACATCATAAGCTTAGTCAAAGAAATCCATTCAAAGACCCTTATTATGTCCAATTAAAAGTATAGAGCGGGTACAATCGATTGAATTATGAACTGAGCGTAAAATTTACTAGTTAATTTAGCATTATCATGACAAAAATAAATACTTGAAGATTAGAAAGTATATAGTTTATTTATGCTATCTTCCCTCTCTAATAATAGAGCCAATTTTATTGACTGTGTTTTTCAAGTTATTTATGACTGTTCTAATTTTATGCAATGTTGGGTTATTCATTTTTGTGAAAACTAACAGAAGAACTGATACTGACAACATTGAGTAGGTCATAACAATCCTATTTTTGATTGAAATTGGTATGAGGATCATAGCATCTGGTATAATTTTGAATCGGAAGAGTTTCTTTAGGAGTCCCCTTAATATTTATGATTTTCTGTTGGTCATCTTAACAACCATGAATCTCTACAGACCAGATATTATCATTATAGATTTATCTCCTTTCAGAATGCTCACTCTATTAAACTATTTGGGAGACATCCTTAAAGGATTATCAACAATGTTGAAAGCATTAAAATCCTCAGTACGTTTGTTATTAGAGGCATTAATTATAGTAGGTTTGTTTTCTTTATTCTTTGGTGTTTTTGGAGTGCTGCTATTTTAGAATTTGTTTAATTATAGATGTCAATTTGAAAATGGAGAAGAGACTGAAGATTGGATTCAATGTGTTTAAGACTCATGTCCTGAAGGTATGAAATGTCTTTATTCTAATCAAACGCCTAAATTACCAACATCCTTCAATAACATTGTCTATGCATTGGGATAGATCTTAAGAACCATTACAATGGATGATTGGAGTTGGGTCATGTTTTTTACAATGAGGATTTATCATCCATATGTGTGGATTTATTATTTGCTGATTATCTTTGTGGGAGGCTTTTTTGGTTTCAATTTGGTCATTGCAGTATTGAAAACGCATTACGCAGAGGCAGCGGAGGAGACTGTCTAGGAGGAAAGGCAATAGGAAATGCTAAAGAGATTAAAAGAAAAACAAGAAAATCCAGAAAGAGACTTAATATCAATCTTTGATGTAGCCATCCTTAGACACATAGGAATATATTAATCTTATAAAAAGTATCATATATAATTACAAAATGTTGCTAATGTTACTTAAAAGTTTACAATTGAGAAAATTAAAAAGGAGTAGGAGACATCTCAGAAACCCAGAACATTGTCAGGTAAATAAACCGATTTTGAAAATGTAATTTAATAATTATTAAATCTTAGAGAAAAAAAGGGATTCAAGATTATTTGGAAAGCATCAACTTAAAATATTTTTTGCTTCCAAAATTAAAATATTTGGAGTAACTTTAGAAGGAAATAAAGCCAACTAATTTCACGGATGATCCTTTAGAATTGAAATTAATCCATAAGTTATTGTAATATGATTTCTGTTAATTGAAGCCATATCCCAATTTTGAGATCTATCATGAGTTTAGTAGTGTACAGGATATCTTACAGGCTTAAACGTAAATTTGTTATTTGAATTAAGCAAAAAATAGTAGCGTTTGAATGAATAAACATAAAAATAGCTAATTTAATAGAGACGTTCGATCCGATTAAAGTAAACCTATTCGTTGTCGACTTTGAATTTGCTAAAGAAACAGCCTCAAAGAGAGAAATTTAAATTGCCGTTGAAAAAACAAAGTCGATTTCGAAATGTATTACGAGAAGACCAAACGCTGGAAAACTCTGGATAGAATATTAATGTGGATAGATAGGAATCAACGAAACTACATCATTTGTAACAGGGAAATTCGATAAAGAGCATGCCATTCTCAGTTAAAAACAAATAAAAGACATATGTCTTTATATAGGAATAGTATATCGATTACGAGGCAGTGAGTGAGAAGATAAATGCAAAGATATAGATTATTCCTGATAATTCTGAATCGAATGAATTCAGGTATGGATTGATAAGGAAGAAGGAGATGGTCAGTAAAACGATAAATAAGAAGAATTGGTCTGGGAGAGATGTACTTTATTAGAATTTAGCAAGGTTCATAAGTTTTGATTAGATAAAGAAGGCATTAAATCATTAGGAAAAGATGATATGGTTAAGAGGAATTAGTGGTAAGATTTAGATAGCATAAAAATATACTTATATAGTAGTGAGCAGCAAATTTAGCGATTTATTCTTCGATTTAATAATACTGTTTAACTTTGTGTTTTTGTCATTGCAGGGGATTGTGAATCCTGGGTTGATATCTCAGATAGAAGATATAACAACAATCTGTTTATGTATTGAGATAGTAATGAAGCTATTCTCGTTTAACTGTAAGGAATTGGTAAGTGATTGGAATCACATTGTTCAGATATTGATAGTGTCATTAAATTTTGTAGAATTAACTTTGGGGGATGAGATAGGCAGTTCAACGCAGTAAGGTTTGAGATTGATTAGAGGAACAAAATGTTTACTATTTTATCGATGTTTAAAGTACAATAAGATGGCAGCCAAGATAGGATGGATAGCATAGAAGACATTTGAGTAGTACATATATTTGACGTTTTTAATGTTCTTGGTTATTTTCATGTATGCTCTAATAGGGATGGAAATGTATGCAGGGATGTTTGATTAGAATGATACATTAGGATAGTTGCATTCATTTGATAATATCATCAAATCTTTTATGACTATTTTCAACATAATGACAAATGATGATTGGTATGGAGTATATGTGATGGGAGGGAGTTTGAATTACAATTTTGCTTTGATATATTCATATTCAATGGTCATAATATTGAACTACTTGACTTATGGTTTGGTGTTGGCAATAATGTTAGATGGGTTTGGAAAGTATTTAGGGAATGAGGAAGAGATTCTTAAGGAGGATGAAATGTAGAATCTATAGAATTCGATAAATTCTGAGCAGCATGACGTGATATTTGAGGAAGAGGAGAGCAAAGATGTGGAGACATAAGCAAGACGATACAAGTTAAGTTTGATTTCCAATTTGTTGATTTCGATAAAATAGGCTTATAATAAAATTTAGAGGAAGAAAGGATCAATCTATCATGAGATACAGTGTTAGCAATCTTTGTATATATTTGATAAAAGCAATTGGTTTAGAATTGGTGTCACGAAATTAGTTATATCACCACTTTATATTTACTTGATGGATGGAGTAATTTACTGGTCAATTGTGGTATTTATAATAAAGACATATCATGATTACGAGATAGACTCTTCTGATCTGCCAGACACTCTGCAATTAATAGTCAACATTTTGATTATAATTGATTTCTTGTTAAATATTATTAGCAAAGGTTTGATATTGGACAGAGGATCACATATTCAGAGTATTTGGCAGATAGTAGATATTATTTACATAATTGCATATTTTATACAATATCATAGAAGTAATTATGCACCAATAGTGGATGTTCTGATGTTCTTGGGTTATTTTAGACCAATGATATTGATGTATAGAATCAGTTGGTTGATCTAATTAAGGGCTGCATTGGCACAATCATTGGTGGATATTTTGAATGTGTTGATTACTCTACTTTCAGTGTGGTTTGTGTTCGGTGTGTATGGAATCATTTTATATGAGAATCAATTTGGGTTTTGTGAGGACAAGATGGAATTTTATGTTTCTTATGAGGAGTGCTAATCACAAAATAGAACATGGGTGAATTATAAACATAACTTTGATAATATTACAGTAGCTATTCCCACTTTATTTGTGGTGTCTACTTTTGATGGTTGGGGAGAGATATTGCAAGTGGCTGAAAACAGTCAGATTGCAGACATAGGCCCAGTTCCATTTGATAGTTACCTTTATACGTATTTCTTTTTGATTATATTCTGTTTCATTGGATCAATGTTCTTTTTGAGTTTATTTACTGGAGTTCTCTTTACAAATTTGAAGGAGAATTAATTCAAGATGTAAAATAATGAGTTAAGTCAAGTGCAACGAGAATTCAAGAGCATCACTAACATAATCATGTCTGACTTTCCCATTTATTCTACACCTCCTAAGTATGGAGTTCGTAAAATGGCATCAGATATAGTTAACAATCACAGGGTCAAATAATGCATATTCGCCTTTTTGATTATGGACCTAGTCATTTTGTTATTGTTCAGATCTGAAATGGACAGAGATTACTTTCTTGTTATCAACTCAATACACCATTCTTTGACTATTCTCTACCTCCTATGGATCATCTTAATGGTGTTGGCCTTGGGAGTGAATAGATTTTTTGATAACAATTGGAGAAGATTCTATTTCTTCTTGATACTTGTCGGAATGATTGACTTAATAGCACATTACATAACTGATTGGACTAGAGTGTAATACTACTCCTCTCCAAATGAATAGTATTATCAATTGTATCGTTTCTTCTTTGCATTACGAAGTCTAAGAATCATTCTCATCTTCCAAGGACTCATCAACATTCAGAGACTAATCAGAGTAATGGCATTTGCAGTCCCATACTTAGTCAAGATCTTCACTATTCTCATCATCACCATGTTTATATTTGCACTATTCGGATGCCAATTATACGGCAAGATAGATTCAGGTTAAGTGATGGATGACCTCATCAATTTCACTAATTTTGGGAATGCAATGTTGGCACTCTTCAAATGTGCTTCTGGTGATGATTGGAGAACCATCATGACTGACACAATGCAACACAATCCCTTATGTTAAGAAGATCCCAAATACTGTGGATCTCCTACCAATCAACTATATTTCATACTCTTCATGCTCCTGTCCAACTATGTCCTCCTCAATCTATTTGTCTTAGGCCTTATCGAGCAATTTGAATAGTTCTTCTAAATGCAGAATTCCTAAATCCAAACCTATGTCGAAAACGTTGACGACATCAAAACCATCTGGTGCAAATACACCACTTAGACTCAAGGAAAAACTATGCATTACAAATTCTTGGGCAAATTCCTGATGGACATTGGTCTCCCTCTTGGAGTTGACCAAGACTCCAATCTCTGGGATGCCTGCAAGTTGTCATCCAAATTTAAACTATAATGGTATATTTTCATTAAAATCTTAGTGACTCCCATGGTTACATCCAATATAACTCACTTATGTATGAACTGTTTAGACGATGTTTCTACCAAGAAGTGTTCACCTAAGGTACTCCAGAATCTATCAAATTAATCAAATAATTCAATAAAGAACAGCAATTCAGACTCAAATATTACCGGAAAGACAAAAATATCCCAAGAACAAATATTGGTCCTGCCATCTCTATTCAAACCAACATCAATTTACTTCGCGAATATTTAAATGTGTTAATCTTATTTAAAACCTGGCAATAATTCAGTAAGTCTCTCATTAAGAAAGTCAACCAAGATGAACATCAATTTACTGATAGCGATATTTCTCTGCAAAACCCTTCAGAAAACGGGTAATCTTTTATTTCCAATTTTAGATATCAAAGGAGTTAGAATCATATCTTATAGGAAGAGTCCTAGATCGAATCCAAACAGGATAACTACATCGATCAACTCCAAATCAGCCGACACAGCGTCTCCTAAAGCAGTTAAATTAACCAATATAATGACTTGCTTTTTTACAAAGGAAACTATGAAACATCTCTATAGAGTGAAAACCGAGACTTTACATTCCTAAAAACTGAAAAACGCTACGATTCTGAATTATGATTAATTTTTAGATTAAATTTGTTTACCAATTGATTTATCATCTATATATATATATATTAAATATTATAAAGTATAAAATAGCGAATAGTCACTTAAGATATTCCACAAAACATCCAAGTATAAAATGGAAATTAGCTGTCCAATCAATATTAAATCTGTTCAGTAGTCGGCAACGGCACGTTCGGCATGGTTTATTTGGTAAAAGTCGAAAGAGTGATAGTGTAGGCTATCGACACAAAAACCAACGAGAAAGTGACTATAAAGAAGGTGTTTTAAGATAGGAGATACAAGAATCGAGAACATCTCATAATTTCAGAGTTGAATCATCCATGCATTGTGAAATTGAGGTAAACTTTCTTTACTCAAGGAGACAATGCCAAAAATGTTTATATTAAATTTAATGTACGCTGAAGATATCTTATTGAATTTAGTGATGGATTACATCTCTGAAACCTTAAGCAAGGAGAAACGCAAATTCAAAATCACTAGAACCATTCCCCAGTCAAACACTTAAGATATACAGCTACCAAATGCTGAGAGCCATGGCCTATTTTCAAGGTTAATTGACTCCAAATCACTCTAGGCATCGGCATCTGTCACAGAGACATTAAACCTCAAAACATATTAGTAAACCCTACTAATCATGTACTGAAATATGCGATTTAGGATCTGCCAATAGATTGATGGCTGGAGAATCCAACGTTGCCTACATATACTCCCGATTTTATAGAGCTCAAGAATTAATATTTGGAGCCACTGAATACTCTACTGCCATCGACATTTGGTCTATTGGTAAGAGACTATCAAATATATTATCAGGATGAGTTATTGCCGAGATGCTCACTGAAGAACCCTTGTTTCCAGGAGAAAGTGCTACTGATTAATTGGTTGAAATCATCAAGATTTTGGGAACACCTACTATTGATTAAATCAAGTAAATGAATCCTTAACAATAGAAATAAAGTTTCCTTAAATTAAGTGTCATCCTTGGGCGAAGGTATCATCGTCTCTTGATTAAGATGTTTAGGTATTTGGTAAGTTTAAGCCAGAACCTCATTTTATAGATTTTGTCAGTAAAATTTTGGTTTATTCTCCACTGGATAGATTGAAGCCATTGGAGACTTTGTTCCATCCTTACTTTGACGAAATTAGACAGCAAGGTTTTGGAGATGGAAACACCAAGTTGCCTAATTTCTTCGATTTCTAAAAGGGTAATATCATTAATGAATTTTGATAGAGGAATTACAAATTCAACCTGAAATAGCTCACAAACTGACACAAAGTTGGGTTAAAAGTGACTGAAAATATTTATTTCGAAATCTGCGTTGCTTCTTTTTATATTTAAATATACATATTAAATGAATAAGAAGATCGAAGGGAATTTTGAAAAATAAAAGCAATACCAAAAGGATTTGCAAGATATCTAAGATAAGTGCAAAAAAGCAACCACAGATATAAGGCAAAGGCTGTTGGATGGATGTGCAATAAAATTGAAAAACGAGGATGTCATGTATATTTACAAGTACTCCAATTTAAAATTTTAAGTAAAATCTATCGGTTGACAGAAGATGCAGGGACTGCACAAGCATTAAAGAATTATTCGAAGAATCAAAATAACAGAGGAGAAAAGGTGGAAGAATAGCTGATCTAATATTTTAAGGATATTTTGAATGAATTCATTGCTGATATCTATATGAGGCTCAACGAATTCCAAGGGGAAAAAGAGAGCGTATAAATAAGTATTACTTTATTCAGGTACTCTTTATTGTCTCAAGAACATATCATGATTACAGATCTTACTCATATTGGCTTTACAAAATGTTCTTGTATTTGGACAAATTCGCTATGCCACATGTTGGAACTTCTCTGTGCAGCACATCTTTAAAGCTATTCAAGGAGGGATACTTCGATAAGTGCAATAAACTGATTTTAAACACAATTTTACAATTTATTTAGGAAACAAGAAAGAATGGAATATTGTTGAATAAATAAATCAAACATCTCATCAATTTGTTCTCCGTCATGGGTTCCAGAGAAGTTGAATTCACTAAAGCACTAGGAGAATATGACTACATCTGTAAAAAACAAGAAGATGCATAAAAATACTACAAGGATAATTTCCAATATTATCTTTTGCTAGAAGTAATCTGTACATTCCTATTCAGACTTCCAAATTCTATAAGGATGAGATCGAAGACAAATAAAAATTTACTGCTCCTGAGTTTGTAAGCTGGGGCAATTCTATTTTCAAGCTGGAATTGGATATGTGCATAGAATGCTATCCCAAGAGTCAATAGGCCATTGAAAATAAGTTGAAGATTATACTAGTCAAAGATCAAGCAACCAGATTGGTGGACTCACCCACAGGAGTTGGTTATATGTTGTAATATGACAGAACTGATGAATTGAAATAATTGTTTTAATTCATCTTCAGAACTAAGGAATGCATTACTCATATTGCCAAGGCTTACCAAACTTATTTCGAGTAGCAAGGACAATTAATTAATAATTCGATTGAGCAAGAACAATAATAAGTAAAAGACGGTCGTCAAATACGTATTCTATATCATTTACTCAAACTTAGATGAAGCTGAACTCTATTTCACTAGAATGTTGGAAGTTATGGAAAAGGCCTAAAGTATATTAAAGAATCAATTGCAAGACGAACCAGAGATTTAAAAATCTTACAGTGGAGCCTTCATGTTGGTGATCAATAAGAATGAAAAATCCCCAATGTGGTTAGCTATTTATACTGATATCATCATAAGAAGCGAAAAGGGAGTCAATGAGATGGAAACTGATAAAAGGTTGAGCAAAATTGTATCCCTCTTTCAATTGCTTTATCAACGAGATGTGTTCTTTAGACATTATTAGAAATTCTTATCGAATAGATTGCTCAATCAATAACTATAGAACATCTAATTGGAAAAGCAATTGCTGTAGAAATTCAAGGGAGAAACCGGTACTAATGTATTGTAAATATTTGACTCATAATTAGAACTCAATTGTCCAGCATGATCAACGATATTGAATAGTCCAATAGATTTGCCTCAGATTAACAAATCAGTAAAGATACCAAATTTGATTTGAATGTGTTCTTGTTATCCCAAGGTTGTTGGCCAATCACCACCATCCTAGATAATGTTATTAAGCCAATTCAAATCTAAAATGTTCTGGAGTATTTACTTAATGCATACAATTAGGAATTACGAGAAGATATATTTGGGTAAACACAATGGAAGAATACTCACTTGGTGTTTTAATATGGGGTAAGGGGAATTAATATACAAATTACAAGCAGACAAATACTATCTGAATGTGAATACTATGTAAATGATTGCTTTTCTCTTATTCAACTAAGCGACATAATTCTCAATCAAGAATATCTTGGAAATGACCAAAATTGATAAGATTGATTTAGAAAACTCATTGATTCCTTTCGTTTGCTTGAAGATCATCTAAAGAGAGAAATAGGAAATTGAGGATTTTTCAGATGAAAATGAAATTCTCAAACTGAATTTGGGTTTCAATAATAGGGCCAAAAAAATGAAATTATTGCCTAATCCGAAGATGCAACCCAAAAGAATTGTAAGAAGTGTTTAATCCTTTTTAGAGTAAGGTCAAGGAGCAAAATCAGGAAGAATTACAATAGATGGAGTAAATTAACAAGCAAAGGGAATTTGTGGTCGATTCTTAATTGGTCAGATTGATGAAATCAAGAAAAACTATTAAACATCATGAATTGCTAGAAAATTGCTAATAAATGATTTCAATCTTTAAACCTGATATATTATTCATCAAAAAGAGAATTGAAAATTTGATAGAAAGAGAATACATCAGAAGAGATGAAAAAGACTGGTATTTATCAATCTTAACAATTTCTTAGGAATATTTATCATTATTTGAATTGAAAATTATTAAATCAAAATTGTTATCATACATTTATATTTATTAACTAAAAGAAAACAAATTCAAATATTATGTCGGACATGACAGACCTTCAAACAACCCTTTGCACAGAAGATTTTACCCCCATGAGGAAAGGTACTCTCATTTTAAATCTCTAGGCATATTTGTCGAACTCTTCCTTCTCTACTTAATTTATATGGTTATTAGTATTGCATCATACTATTAACATCCTGAGTAGGACACATCTTAACCAGGTTAACATAATGATGGAGCTGCTCCTCCAAATCAATCTTAAGTAATTATCTAATAATCCATATTGAGGCTAAACCCTCTTTTATCAGCGTAGAAGCATTGAATAAATTCTTCACTATTTTTTTTGGATATCACATTATACCTATTGGAATGGCATTATTATACTAACCTAGAATTTTTTCAATTGTGGTATGTTATCTACATTTCGTTGGTACCGAATTTGTCATATATTAGCCTACATTGTGATTATGGTTGCTCATTATAAAGAGAAAGAGTCCATTTTGAAAATAGCCTACACTGCATCAGGCTTATTTAACATACTTCTAATTTTGGGAGCCATAGTTGGACTGTCACAAATGGAAAATGGTTGTCTTTGATCATATAAAATTCAAATAATCAATAGTTTATAGATTAAGATTATAATTATTTTTATTTGTTGTTAATAGTATTAATTATTAGATCAATTACAACTAATAATTACTACATTTTGAATTTTCAGCATTAGCATAAGTCTAATATATAAGTAATTTATCATATCAATTTTTATTGAAATCCTGCGCTGTTTCGTAATTATTGATCGGTTTAATAATATTATTTAATGAATTTAGTGATTTGAGCAGAAACATCAAATTCTGCCAATAGGTTTTTGCTTACTGAAGTTCTTTTGGGATTAACTATTCTGATTAGCGAAGGTTTCTCAGTTTTCAATTTTCTATCCGGACTATTGGGAATGGATTAAGTTTGAGAATAATATTGTTTAATTTTGGTAGTGTCTGGAGGAGTCTTGTTTCTTTTGACGATGGTTCCTTGGATATCCTTATAGATCAGACACAATGATAGTTGTTCTTTTGCTTGAATGATAATTTTTGAATTTTCTAGGAGTAAACTATTAGAGATTTGCCTAAGTGCATGTAACTCTTTGAGAATGGTTTACAATTTGAGTTTGACAGAAGCAGGCTGATTTAGTTTATCTTCTTAGGCAATGATTCTTAGGTGTTCGCTTTCAATGGCATAAGTTTAAAGTTGAGTTTGGTAGAAGACAACTTTATCTTTTAATCTATGAATCTTGTCTTATGCTTTCTTTTTGAGTGTTTCATACTGTTATCTATAATTATCTTTGTCTTCTTTTTTTTATCTATTTAAGTCTTCATATTTAATCCGTTAATCGATTAACTTTTACTAAAGTTCCTATTTCTGGAATTCAATTTGTTAATTACATGCCTTGAGTATGAGAAACTCGGTATTGAGGTCATCGAAGCGTTATTTCCATGAGTCATTTTGAACATCTAAGGTTTGGTCAAAAAGTGATTACCTAAAATGGGAGATGAGTTGTACTTGGAATAATCGCCAGAATAGTTAGGTATTGTATTGATGATTTCATTAATAAAATGTTTGATGGTTATAAAAAGTGAATCGATGACATGTTCCAATTCTAATTTTAATTTGTCAGATGGATCGAATTCCTTTGATAAAATGAGGAATAGTTGTTTTGGAAATTGTTATTGTAGCAAAAGAATGCCTTACATTTAATAATTGAATATTTTAATTTATATTCTCATTCAATAAAGGGATATGCCCTATTCTTACAAAGACCTAATAATTGATTACTCGAAATCTTGTAAAGCTACTTTGCCATCGCAATCTGTATCGGTCATGTCCATCCAAGCTTGGACATCTTGAGGTGTTGGTTCAAACTCAATATTCAATTGCTTATAGGTTTCCCTCAACAACCCTGGAACCTAACGATTGTCTCTATTTAAATTACTTCGTTTCTAGTCAAGAAACCACATTGAGTGACATCAAATTTCTTAAATAATCTTCTGGCGACTTCCAATCTCTCTTCAACCATTCTATTATATTGTCTCTAGGGTGGTAATTGGATACTGTAAGAGGGTAGTGGTTGGATACCAGCCTAATTAATTAATATTATTTTGAACAAGTATGCGCAAAGCATAATTCTCCACATCCTAATAGGTGATCTTGCCGTCTCTGTTGACATCCAAAACCTAGACGAAAGTATCTACATCTGCCTGTTCTTAATATGATATTTTACTTGTGTTGGATTGAAGGCCTTGCTCATTCCTCTGTAAGCGTCTACCAACATTGGGGAAACTACTGTAGGTTCTATTTCTAACCTTCTGGACCATCAATGATGCCATTTCTGTCTCTATCGTACAAATCAAAGAGTTTCTTTGCTATGGCTTTGGCTTGTTCTGGATCGCAAATCCCTTGAGGAGTTACATACTGACTGGTTATCACTTAATCTGATCTTCTGGCTGTGGATCTCATGAATCAAAAACGATAATTTATTTATTATATTTTAACAATTATCATCCATCTCACTTCTTCCATCAAATCAGAATCATTATTTATATATAATTTTATAATGTACTCTTTTAATTTCAATAAATTGCTATCACTTTCCAACAAAACCCTTAAGATAAGTCTCCTTCTGAACTCTGATGACTTCTCTCTTGTCAGTCTTTCTGGACATGTAGATTTTTGTTTTTTCAGCTCCTCTGGTCTTCTTCAACTTGGACTTGACTTCCTTCCATCCCTTTCTGCTTCCATCTCTCTTTGGGATGATGCCTCTTCTTCTCAATCTGAATTTTGGTTCGAATTTCATAAGATATCTAACATTATTTCTCTACCCATTACTATTATGTATCGTAGATCAAAGCGAATCCAGTTGTTCTGTTTCCTCCGAATGTTGTTCTCAATCCATACACGACAACATTTCTTTCGTCAGCCTTGTACTTTTAAGCCAATTCCTTCACCACTGATTCCTAAGATGGAGTGGGCTTATTTGGATGGAGTAATTCAACACTCTTTTATTAACCACTTTCTTACTAATTATCTTCTATTCAAGAGTTTGTTAAGCAATACTTTTCTGGTCTTCACAATAAATGTCATTCTCTTTCCTATTTTTTCAAAATTAATTAAATCTTTTTTTTATGAAAATAAACTCAATTCATTAACATAATCTCAAATATTCATTATTTTATTATCTCTCTTCACTCCTTGCTTAATTCTCAATATACTCCATTTAATGACTAATTTACAATATACTGTTTGAAATTTCCTTTCAATCAAATTACATCTATGTAGTTAACCAAATTTAGAAACGACTTGACAAAAATACCTAATAATTCATTCTGACGATATAAATATTGGCTTTACATTTTAATATTAGAAAAGAGATAAAATATTTTTTTTTAATGATTCAACAGATTTCAATCCAAATTTACATAGCTCTTATGTTGTTACAACATCTGATTATAGGGGAGTGCGCTTCCGTATGTCCTTTTACTAACTACAAAAATGCTCTTTTGGTCATTGACTCATCTACCCAAAGCTACACCGAATCCATTAATGATAGTGAAAACTATGATACTTTTGGATTTGCATTCTGGAGTATCAGTATTCCATTGCTTGAGAAGCTTGAAACTGCAAATAGAGATGGGCCGTTTAAGAATGATGTGTCAGAAGATGGACAACTGTTATTTTTTGTCAAAGATTCATCGACTACCTCAAACTTTATTTACGGTTTTAAATCCTACGACTATTTAAACAGGCAGGTCAAGCACACCATTAAATTCATTAATCAAGATATTAGCCAAAAATTTATATTCTCATTTGGATCATTAGAATACGAAGGAATCTGGATTTACCATCAAGTTTTATTGTAGCCAGCTTTAAACAAAATTATTGTTGAAATGAGTAACTAAGAAAAACAATAAGCAAATTTTGATTTATAAAATCAATTGAGTTTATAAATCAGTATCGGAGGAAGAGGATATGTAATTAATCATATAATCAAATTAGATTGATTCGTTGAACCTCAACTCGTTTAGAGGAAAATAATCGAAGTTAATTTATCTGCCCAAATTTGCTTATTCAACAAATACTTTTTCATAGTAAGTGTAAACTTGCAAGATACCACCAATGGTTACTGGAGAATAAACCATCAATATCATCTCTGGATTAAGGTTATTTGAAGGAAATTAAGTGCTATAGCAATTCTTAGATCTTTATGGAAATAGGTACTGCATTTAGGGATGGGTTAAATATTTATTACCAAAAGTGGACGAACAAAGTTATACGCTATTGAAGTTGTCAGGCTAATCCAACTTTGAGAAAGAAATTACACTAGGAGATGAGCTGTTCCGAGTAGAAAGTTTCATTTCAAAGAAGAATCCTAAATCCACATCATTAATTATAAATGCTGATGCTTATGGTATGCCTGTGAAGTAGTCATTCCAATCACAATATGATCTATTATTCTAAGGATCCGGAAATCCAGACTACAGCGTATTATAAGCGAAAAGAACTTATCAAGATCTCAATACATAACTATATTTTGAAGGATTGTAACAATGGCATTATATTTAATATGAATATGGAAGAAGTAATATTGATTAAAGGATGTTATTGTAGATTTAATTTTCAAATGATTTAGGAAAGCTATACGAAAATCTTGGAAACCATATTTTTAGTGGCTCTTTTACAAATGCTAGACTTAATTTATTTTTTGGTGGAGACACTACTAATTCAAATACCAATCATGAATTTATTGAAGCTTATATATATGATTTCAAAATGCAATTTAACTATGCCGAAGATAAACTATTTAACCTAAGTAACTATTAACATTATGCTAGATTGCCATTATACTTGTAAGACATGTGAAGGACCATTAATATCGAATTGTTTAACATGCGATGCTAATTCCAATAGATTTTATCAAGTTGAATTAAAAATGTGCAAATGCAATTCTGGTTATCTAGATAAGGGTATCCCTATTTGTGACAATAAATTTTATTCATCAGTTCAATAAGAAGAATAGCCAATTGATTTAGAAGTGCCATGTCCAATTGGGTATTTTAGATTACCCAAAGATGATGGGAGTGGATATGATTGTCTATTATGGTATTTCTAATGAATATTACATTTAGTCCTTAAATGAAAAATTTCTTTGGAGTGCTGTGTGCGGATTGCTACTTCTATCCTTTAACTTTTTATTTGGAACCTGTGTGCACTATGGATTTTTTCACAATCAAACAATTAAATGATTATGAGGCATACCATTTAATAAAGAGGACTGAAGCTCAAAACGATGCTTATTCTATAGAATCTGATAGAGCATTGCACCTAAATCCTGAAATAGCATATTATTGTTATATTGATTCTTGCTTGCCGTAGGTTAAATACCATCTTGGTAAGCCTATAACGGCTGAATGCAAACCAAGTTACTACTATCACGACGAGGTGCAACTCTGTTTAAATCCAGGCATTGCTAATTGTTTAAAAGTCAATATAATACCTGGATGTAGTCTATGTGCTCAAGGTTATTACCTTGTTAATTATAATACTTGCGGCAGATGCCCTACTAATTGTTATGCTTGTATTTCTGATTGTTATGATTGTTCTGGTAATAGAGGTGCGATATGTAACACTTGTATATAATATTACAACCTGTAATAAGGAGTATGTAAACAATGTGGACTTCGCTGTGATTTTTGCAAAGACTATTATGATTAGTATTTGGGAAAAAACTATCTAAAATGTTTAAAATGTATTGACGACTCTTTGTACTCATTTTCTTTTGATGGTATTAATTGCATATCAAATGTAATTCCTAATTGCGTTCATTCATTTTCTGCACTTATAGATGATTACACAATAAATACTCTTGATATCTATTTCGTACCTTAATTCGATTAAAGCAAGATCGAATTATTATGCGCAAAGTGCTAGCCAAACTATGTTTTCGTATTTGAAACTAAATCCTGTGTTTTTAATAATATTAACAACCAATGCGATATTGGTATTGGTTCACTAAAATCAAGTGATCAATCATTAGAAAGTGTCACTTGCCTCAAATCATATTATTATGAAAACCAAATTGTTGAATTTATGGAAAAATGCGAAAACTTAGTTAATGATTGTTAAGTCTGCCTTGAAACTAACATTCAAAATTATTACACCTGTTTGGAATGTTAAAATGGATATTATGCAGAATATATAAGTAATCGATGTGTTTAATGTCCAAGTCAGCTTAATTGTATTTCATGTTACTCTCAACATTCAGTCTCAAAAGATCATTGGAAGAAAGATGTTAGGGCATTTTATAAAAAGTATATTGAAATCAAAAACACACATTAATATATCCTCAATGCATAGAGTTAGAATGTCAGTGATTATGAAGTAGTTTGTTCAGTCTGTTAAGATGGGTATAGGTTATATAAGAATAAATGCATTAAATATTGTTCTGATACCTGTGCAGAATGCTTATTTAAGGATGATCAGTATTATTGTGTTAGGTGCTAAAACGATCAAAAAGGAAGAAAACAATCTACTTACCTTAATGAATGCATAGAATGTCCAGAAGACTGTGCCTTATGTAGGCCGAGAACAAGCGATGAGATCTTATAGATCAATCCTTTATTTAATAGCACTAAATATGCAAAATACTCTCATTAGTGCATCTTAAGCTTTCAAGATTAAGACTATAGTTATGATGAAGATATTGGTGTTTTTATTCATTGCGAATCACCTTCTCCTGGGGGCTGTTATAAGTAGTTGGTTATCCGCATGAATGCCTATGGAGACGCAACTAAATACTATCAAGATTACAATACATTAACTGATGAAGAAAGCAGGTTATAATTTAGAAGGGAAAACTTTTAATTAAATAATTTTTTTGTCTTAAATTAAACATTTGGTGAAGTATTATTATTGTCTATATTTAGTATCAAAATGATGAATTTTACTCCTTAGCCAATGCTAACCATGTTAAGTCAATTTTGATTTAAATAACTTCTGCTTACACATTCAATTTCAGGTCCTCTTACCTGGAAGTAAGCGTAATCAGACAAGTGTTCTCCTAAAGTATATTTTCGCTGATGTATTACTTTTTATTATTTCAAGCAATGTGGAACTTGAATTTAATTTCCATGAAGGTTCTACTTTGACTTTAACAAGAGATATGAGTATTTCATTTTTAAACTTCAATAAAGTCACTATTAAGAATCTCAAAATCATTGAATGCGCTTATTGTGAAAATGACAGATTCTTATTCAACAGTGTATTTCCTTAAACGGTCGTACTAAATAATATATATATTGATCACACCTCTCAGTATAGTGGCAGCCCCTTAATTTTTTCATTACAAAATATCTCTAAGTTTTATTTAGATGGTTTTACTATTGAAGGAATAAATAATGACGGCCCTTCATACATATTTGTACTAGAAAGTACAACCTTTTCGAAATAGATAGCCATAAAGAATTTCAAAATTTTTAATACTTAAATTAAAGATAGCAGAATACTTGAATTAAATTTAAGAAGTGATGATTAAGTATCCTTTGAAAATTTCAATATATCTGGTATTTATGAATTAGTAAATCTCATCAAAATTAATTCAGAAGATTTCAAAGGTGGTTAGATTACTATGAACAATATACTCATAACTGCCAACATTACTAATTCTCGTGAATTTATACATTTTGAAACGGCTAGCTCTCTATCCATATCAAATTTTGTACTCTATACATCCGTTCTTGGATAATCAGTGCTAATTTTGCTCAATCACGTTGCCAAATTAGAAAATATGAATTTCACAGAGAATCAGATTATGGACAATTCAGTTTTACTTTACAACTCCAATCTAAGGAATAATTAAATAAAATTAATCTATTAACTCAATAACATTAAATTTGAAAATAATAAGTACAATAGTGTAATTAAATTTATTTATTTTCAAAAATACTCAAGTCTAGACCAAACTATACAGATCAGTCAATTAAGTTAACTCAATAACCAATTAATAGATGCCACCTTAACTTACAATATGAAACTAGAGACCTCATCCCTAATACTCATTTAATTCAATTAAGTTCAAGTTTCTGACTTTCTCATTAATAGAGGGTATGGATTTAATGATATCACTATCACTGAGTGTTTAACCCTATCAATTCAAAATGGGATTATAATACAAAATAAATTTAACTTTCTAGGATTGCATAAGTATTTGCCCTGCTAATTATTATATGTGGATGGATAGTATTTCTCAATCTCGCTGAATATAATATCTTCTAAAGATATTAGGATGCAAAACCTCACATTCTCTAAAGTAGAGTCATACAATTTTCCATATATTTCAATCATTTTAACTGATATTTTGAAGGATATAGATGATTCAAATATTGTTCTAAAGGACATAGTCTTTTCGGAAAGCCTTATTTTATTATCAGATCCCATCTTCCAGACTGCCTTAATTGGTATTTAATCCTCCTAAGAAACTGTCATTTCGATTTACAATGTTACCTTTAAGAATAATCTCCTACATTCTTATATAGAAGAAGGGTTTATATTGGCAGCTGGATTACTTTATGTAGATTGTCCTTATTGTCAGATTAGTATCCAGCACTCAACCTTCTTGAACAATCTAGTCACCAATAGTAGTTCAAGTATTATGTACATTAAAAGTCAGCAGTTAGAAATCAGCAATTGCTTATTTGAAAATAATAATATCTTCAATTACAAAATCCTTCAACCTTATTTAATCTGGGCATTCACTCAAACTGTAACTCAAAAAGCAATCCGCTAATTCTTTAAGGTTACTTCAACAACTGGAAATGGTTAAATTATAACTGAATAATTGAAAATTCTAAACAGCACATTTTCCAATTCTGGTGGAAAATTGGGAGGTTGTTTTTCAGTTTCTGCATTACGAACATCCAGAATTGAAATCATTAACAACGTATTCCAAAATTTTTCAACATTATTTATAACTGAAATCGAGTAAGGAGGTGTCTTCTACATAGATGGTTCGTCAACCTCATATTTGGAAATTATAATCAAAGACTTAACTGTTCGTAATGTACATTGTAGATAGTATGGAGGCTTCCTATATCTGAAATCTAACAACTCTGAAGTTCATCTTACGATTACAGATGGAATGTTTAATGATATCTATGCGTAGTAAGGATCTGTCATTTATGCGTCATATTCTAATTTAGTAGAAGATCCATAAACAGTAAACATATAAGAAATAGAAATTATTAATTCTCAAAGTGGCTATATTAAATATCTTAATGAATTTAAAGAACTTTCTACTTAATAAGAAATAAGTAGTTTAATTAATAATAGATCATCAATTTATATAGAAGATGGATCTAACATCCTAATTCAAAATATATCCGTTAATAATTTGAAGTTTGAATCTTTTCTAAACTTGGAAAGTTCAAATTTCATATACATATCAGACATCGTTATCGAGGATAGTCAAATTAGTAATAATCTTATTAGAATGTCCTAAAATTAATGTAATCATTTATTTAAACTATTTAGATGTAAACTTAATTCGCATTTTGTTTCGATCAATAATTGTTGGATTTAAAGAGTAATCTACAGGCTGTTCAATCACACCTGACACGAATTAAATTATTAATTATGCATGTGCAGTTGGATTTGGAGGTGCTCCTGCATATATAGAAAATGACATTGATGATGACAGTGTAGATAGAGGATTGTGCGTCAATAATATTATTAGATTAAATTTAGACTTATCTATTTCAGGCTTAATAATTATTAATGATATAGAAGACCAAGACTACGTGAAAATAAGTTAGTTTGATTTGAGTAACATCTCCTGTTCCAGTTGCACTAACGGAGTGCTGTATCTGCAATTTTTAAATGAAACCACATTGTAATAAACATAATTAGTCTAAAATCTCAAGGTAACTAATTCGATTTGTGGGAACAAAGGATGTATGGTTGTTGAAAAGCTGTTAGGATAGGATGGTAGAATTCTTACTTAACAGGAGGCATTTTAATAAGAATATGAATTATAGATTACTGATTACATTTGTGAAAATAATTTAGGATTTACTGGAACTTGTCTGATTCTGAATTCAATTTTCACTTTGATTTAAGATAGTGTGTTGTAACATAATAATGCAACATTCTAAGGAGGAGCTATTGTAGTAAAAGGGTCAGACTAAATAATCATAGAAAACTCACTTATTTAATATAATAAAGCAGAAGTGGGCGGAGGAATGTATCTCGAAAAGATATTTGCTCTAAATTATGAATTATTAAAAACGAGAGTTATTTTGAATTCTGCTAATTTTTATGGAGATAATGTAGCATCAAATCCTGAAAAGCTGGCCATATAAATCACATAAAATGAGATGCTTTAAAGTAAAATCTTAGTTGAAAATTCAACAACCAAAATAGAAGAAGTTGTTGTAAAGCCTTTCACCTCTATTAATGGAAAAAATTCTAAATTTGTTTAATTGCCCACTGGACAGTAGATATCGACGTATTAATTTTTTGATTGGAGGAATTAAAATTATATTAATTATGATTTGATTTTTAGAATTCATGCTTAAAATAGAAAAATGCACTTGATTTAAAATTTATCTAGTACTGCTTGTACCATAAATAGTAGAAGATATAATATTTCAGAGTAGGATGAGGATCAAGAATTTACAAACAACTTCACTAAATAAAATACTATTTTTTATAATTCTGAGACTTAAGATTACAATTTAGATGAGCTGATTGTGTATTTTGATAACGACGTTCCTGAAGAGATTGTATTATAATTAGAATTTCAATGTGATTCAATCAAAATTCCAATATTCAATACCACCTATCCTTATTAGACTTTAAGTTTTCATAATGATTATAGTCTTAGAATCAATGTTAAGACTTTAGAATGTTAATTTGGAGAAATTAAAAATTTAACTGACTTCTCATGTGCAATTTGCGATTCAATATAAGGTCTATTTTCTTTAACTTTAAATGCTCAAAAATGTGATATTTAAGATGATATATCAACAATATCAGTCAGGTCAAATTAATTATAACTTAGACCTGGTTATTGGAGACCGTATTTCGATACATCAGAAATCAGCACTTGCATAAATTTACAAAGCAATTGTTTAGGAGGTTGGAAAAACGGGGATATCTCCTGTTACGTTGGTCATATAGGAGCACTTTGTGAACAATGTGACCTATACGATACGAGAGGAGACGGTTCATTCTCAGTTGTTAGTAGATACTCTTGTGGATCATGTTAAGATAAATACGAGAATATTGCTCTTATTGCTGGCATCATTATTGTTACCCTCATATTTTTGCTTATCTCTATTAAAGGAACTTTGAATTCAATAGATGAGTTTAGCAAATTTAACCCCTTTATTAGATCCTCACACACTAAACTCAGTCCTCAATCAAGTATTCTGATCAAAATTTTGACCAATTATTTTTAAATTATAGCAACCATTACTACCTTCTAATTACAATTACCTTAAGGATTAGTCAGTACCATTGATGGAGTAGGTAATCCTATTCAAACAGCAACTTATTCACTTGATTGCTTTTTAGTTAATTTTTCTAATATTTAAATACAATATACTAGAATGATATGGCAGATCATTTTACCAATCCTTTATATTACTCTTTTTATGGGCTTATTTTTCATTGCTTCTAAATAGCGTCTAATAGGATCGACCTTAAATTGTAGTGTAATGTCAACCACTTTAATTTATTGCTACATTTATTTCTAACCAAATTTAATAAATGGTTTTGTCCAATTAGTGTCCTATAGAGATATATCCGGCTTTAAGTGGATCAAGGCAAACGTAGCTGATAGATACGATACTCTTAATCATTTATAATGGATGCTGAAGTTTAGCATGCCAGCTCTCATTATTTTGGCTATTCTCATACCGTGCTTCTTCTTCTATGGACTTTTCAGCAATAGAAACAATCTAACTTCCAAAAAAGAAGTAAAAATGCGTTGGGCATATCTGTACGTTGAATACAAAGATACAGTATACTTCTGGGAATTGGTTAAAATCATTGAAAAAGAACTGATTATCCTATCACTTATATACTATGAAGACAGTATAGTCATTAAGGGTGTCTTGGTGCTTCTCATCACTTATTTGTATTAGGAATTAAATCAAAATTATCAACCATATTCAATGATTAGAATGAATAAGTTAGACTATTATTCAGCTAATATTTGTATGATCACTATTTGTTTAGCTATTGGAGCCTATATAGCATAGGAGGCGGAGATTAAAGAGTTGTAAATACCCTTTTTAGTGATTATGGCCCTATTAAATTTTCTATTCCTTCAATCCATTTTAGTATAGATTGTATCCAAATACGCATAATAATATGAAGATACTTTAGATAAAATCAAAGACTTCATTAAAAAACAATATCCAAGCTATAAGAGTTCTAAATATCTGGATAAGGTCTTGGAAAGCCGAACTGATAAAAGAAATAGAATAATGATGTTATTCCAAAAACTTAAGAAATTTGCTATTCCTTTAGGGAAACTTATGATCTAAACCAGAGAAAATTATCAAAAAACTAAACAAAAAATAAGTACGATTGAATTTCACACTAGATAAGAGACTTTGGATGTGGAAAAATCATCTTAAAAGAGATTACTTGCTCTACCAAATATAAAATGAGAATTATAAAAAATTTAAAATATTTCTTTTTTTTTATATAAACCATTAAAATATCAAATTGGAAACTTAGATCTTAAAATTCTTAAACTTATTGACTTTTTTAAATATTTTTATTAAATTTTGATGTTGTAACATTTCTCTAACACTTTATTAAAATTGTATATTTTTACTTTGTAAATATATTAACAATTAACAATTATTATTGAATTAAATATAAAATATATATACAACACACAATTTAACATTATATTGTATCCTTATTCCTATTGTTATATATAAATAATTCATTTATAACATAAATTTGAAGCATTTTGAGTCATTGTTTTTCTAATTTAAGTGATATTTCTGTTCTATTTAATTATTAGTAACAAACAAATTGTCAAAATTTTATTGAAATAATAAAAAAGTAATATCTCATAGTCAAATATGAGAATAGTAATTTTAAATTATTATATGAATATACATCTTGAAGTCAAAATGAAGATTTATTAATTTGTAGAAGATTATGAAAAATTTGATCATTATTATTGTTTGAGATGACCCTTTTCCTTTAACTCTACTTTTCTTCGAATACCATCTTTTTTGAATTAAATAAAAAGGAAACAGATTATTAAACCAATTGTTTAATTCAAGTAATCAAAAAACTCAAAGACATATTTCATCATAATTCAATAAATATGTATTTTCTTTAAATAAATCTTATTAATAATAATTTTTATAATACAACATTTTTCATTATTTTTAATTATAAATTATTTACATTAAATAATGAATGATGACACATTAATAATCAGGATTACTACTTACTCTAGTATGTTTGCAGGAATCATAGGAAAGATAGCCTGTCATCCCATTGATACAATTAGAGCTAAGATACAGGTATTTTATATTCTCATTAAAAGATTAGACAAACAATGATGCTTAAGATTAAAGCTGACAAATTGATTTCAACTTTGGTAAAGGAGACCTTAAGAACTGAGGGTCTTCGTGGACTTTACAAAGGGCTTGGAATAACGATAGTAAAAATGATAATTTCTATATAGATAGGAACAGGACCTGCATATTCTTTATATTTAACAACTTACGAGACATCAAAGTACTTTTTAAATTAGTTGAGTGTAAATAGTGTCATTTATCTTAGTTTATGAAGGACAGTCCCAATTTAATATCCTTTACATCTGGAATGATGGCTGAAACTATCAGTTGCATCTTCTGGTTGCCAATAGACGTGATAAAAGAGAGATTACAAGTTCAAAGCAATTTAAAGGTTTTTGATTATAAAAATACATTTGTATAATGCTGTGAATATTCTAGGATGCCATCCAAAAAATTCTAAAGTCAGAAGGAGTGGTTGGTTTATATCGAGCTTATGGAGCAACTGTAGCCTCATATGGACCCTTTAGTGCATTCTATTTTATGTTTTATGAGAAATTAAAAAGTAATTCAGTTTATAGGAAATAAAATAGCAATTTTGGAAAATCCATTGTAACCGTCCTTTTTAGAGAGTCTTTGTCTATCGGGGATAGCAGGATCGATGGCAGGATTTATATGCAATCCAATGGATATCGTGAGACTGAGAATGCAGGTATAGAGAGCCTCATTGGCCACTCATGCAGAGACAGGCAATTTTGGATACAAGAACTTAATACATGGAATGTACAAGGTTGTAAGCAATGAGGGGATATTGTCTTTGACAAAGGGATCGATGGCAAAAGTGTTGTACACATGCCCTAATACTGCAATTTCAATGAGTGTGGCAGAAGTAACTAGATCTTATTTTATTAATAAATACAAGAGTCATTGAATATAATTATAAATAGCTAAAGGAATAAAATTTACATCAGATTTAATTAAAGAATTCGTGTTTTAGTAATTCTTTGGCTTCTGATCTCTGAGCTGGATCATAGGCTAGACATTGTTTTAGTAAATCTAGGAGTTAATTTTATTTGACTAAAGATAGATAATTGCAGTTCTGTCTTACGACTGAATTCAGTTGCAATTGCTATTGTTTTTAGATGATTCTTGATGAGTAGTTTGTATAATTACTTGCTTAAATCTCTTCCTTTGACAGCAAATAAGCCATACTTGATTTAGGGTCTTCCTTATCTCATGATTTTCCCTTTATAGGATAGCCAATTAGGAACACCATGTAATATGTCAAGTATTATTGCCCCTTGATTTGTTTATAAAAATACCGTAACTCCAAACATCTATTTTTGGAGTCCCATGCATTTGAGTAAGGGCTTCAATTTAGCTGTTGTATTGATTTGAGTATTTGGTCCAATTATGCATGATATCAAGGGCTTCAGGAGCCATGTATTCAGGAGTTATCATTCCGAATTGATCCTTGTCCTCATTTGAGAATGCTGATCCAAAATCTATGATCTTGGGTATGTTATTTTCAACTAATATATTGTCTGGTTTGAGATCGAAATGAGTGACACGTTTGTCATTGATACATGAGATTCCATTCAAAATTCCATGCATTAATTCGATGAGTTTTTGTGGATGTTCATACATGTCCAACAATTATTGAGTCTCACTTATCTACGACATTAGATTGCTTGTACCGCATAGACTCTTTCTCCCTTGTAGAATTCGCCTTTCATGGTGTAGAGCACTTTGCTTAGTGGTTTGCCTCCCAACTCCTGTATAATCCAGGTATCTTTGTTTGAATGTTCGACTCCCATGATCTAAACTATGTTATCGGATTTGATGTAACTGAACTTTGCCTCCTTGCTCTATTGTGGTTTGGCTATTTGTTTCAATGCCACCTTCTGATTGCCTTTGGATGCCAACCAGACCAGGGCAAATCCTCCCCTGAATAAGAGTAAAATAAATGATGTACCTTCCCAAGAGTTCAAGCTTGTCGAAACCCAACAATTACCTATCTCCGTAAGTTCCTTTCTCTTCCTCTGTGAGTCCGTAATCTTTAAGCATCTTAAGGGATGGCAATCTATTAGGTTTGAGGGTGAAGCTACTGTGCTTTTATAATTTCATGACTGTGATTCCAGGGGATTAGTTTGACTCTTTTTGCACGAGGTCTATGATTATTCGTTAGTGTAACAGCGAATCCAATCCTACAATATTGTCTATATGAAAATGGGATATAAAAGTGTGGTAATGGAGGAGGTGATATAAATACATACTGTTGGTGGAGACGGGAGTTCTTCTGGATTTCTGCGACAGTTGTCTCTAATAATGAATGGGCATCATATTAATTAATTATATTTATACTCTTAACCAATTATTGATAATGCATAATTATTTATATAATATTTGAAATGTAGGAGTGGCCTAAGAAATTGTTTCTTGCTATTGCATTCGTCTCTTGCTTCACCTGTTATGCAAGACCAGACTACAATCTCCCGCTATTCGCCTTTGCATATTTGCTTTGGGACATAGACAGACCTGTAAGTGAATCATCTAAGTCAATTTAGGTATCGCAAAAGATTAGATTAATTTACCTATTTGTTTATTCGTGGATTATTGATTTCGTTTGGCTTGTTTATTGGGGTCCATTTTGGAATTCATCCACTTTCAGTCATAATTGGGCTGATGGAATTTAAACCTTTGTGTTAGTGTTGTCCGTTATCAACTTTATCTTGAAAGTAGAAATTGAATTAATATTGTGTAGTTGGGTACAATTGTAGTGTGCATTTTGGCAGAGAAAGAATGCAAAGATGCATTACATCCTGAAAATGCAATGGGACATGCGAAGAACATCTTTAATAGTGATGGTTAGCATTAATGAATTACTTAAATTTTTTAAAAAAAAATTAATATCTATTTTAAATTAATGTCTTAATCAGTGCTTTGGGAAGTAGTTAAGGGCAACAATGGTCATTTTTTGGTCAAGAGAAACGGATTGACCCTCTCAACCGATCCATTCAATAACACCGGAGTTTAAACATACAGCAGCACAGGTACAGAGGCAATATTAATATCAAAAGGATTCATTACATAAAATGCTATTGGAGTAGTACCAACATAAGCAAAGGCTAATTAAATCAACAATGTGAATTTGGTTGCCAGAAAGAGCACCAAATTCCAATAGGCTGACAGAAAGACCAAGAATACTCAATCAGTTTATGCTTCAACCTTGAGTGTCAAACACGGAATTCACATCAGCCTCAAGAGTATGTCATCTCTTATCAACCCTAGGTAATCAGAAAGAGATTCGGCACAAGAAGACTCGGATTGTAGAAGGCAGCTCTCAGAAAATTGGTTAAGTTGAACAGAGCCAATGCTGTCAGAAGAAGAAATGAAATTGCTGCAACTAAGGCATAAAAGAAATGATTTGCATTATCAAACGATGTACAATAAATATATATAAATAAATAATATTATTATATAAATGGGAACTATTCTCACAAATAAATATAAAAGGATAATATTTATTAATAATCACATCATAATACATTGATATCTTATTACATGATTTTTAATTTAAATTAATATGAAATAAGAAAGAGTTGCACCTAAGCCTTAGTTCGGGATTTTAAAGCAGCAATAACCATCCTTTCCAGATGATGTATTGTCATATAACAGCAGCAAATCGATGAAGCTATCAAACGATGCAACACTTAAAGTTCGTTATGATCGATTTGGAAATGTCATCGATAAGGCAAGACGAGATCATTAGATCTCCTTTAGAGATAGAGTTACAAAACAATAAAAGGTCTATGACTTATTCTTGTTTGATTTGTTTAAAGTTGAATAGTTGTAAATTGAGAATCGGAAAAAATAATAAAATAAGGGTTGGTGTTGCTCGATTTAATGAAATGAATTATTTAATATTTTATGTAAATGTGTACTATACTTTAGAATTATCACTATTTTTTAGTTTCTTCTTGGTGTTCTCTGGCTTATTTCTTTTCAAGAGCTGTCAAATACAATCCGTTGTCATCTGGGAGTGAAATCAAGGACTTCTTTCCTTTTCCGATTGTGAAGATATTGTTGATTCTTGTAGAGAAGTGCTTTCCATTTGAGTCCTAAGATATATCTTTATTAATTCATACTTTAACATGGACGATGTCAAATGATCCAAGATGTCTTTCTCTGTGTTGGATGAGACCCACTCTTCCAATGTTATTACCTCCGATAATGTAACATAAATTTCCTAGTTGATATTATAGATACAGATATTACCTGGTTCTTCCTTGAGGAAATCGACAACCTTTCCAGTTTCCAAATCGATTTTTAATGTGTCATTGACATGAATATCAGGGTTGGGGTATCTGATGGTTCTGGCATCGCTGGTGACAATATAGGGGACATTGTTTGGTCCAACCTTCTTTTGGGTTACTTTGACTAACTTGAATTTGGCCTCATCTGGTTTGATTGATTTTAATATGAATTTTCCTTAGACATCATACAAAACTCTGTAACTTTCTCTTGTCTTGTCAATTGTGATGACATCTGAGTCATTAATGATATAAAAGTACCTTATAAGCCAACTGGATATCCAAAGTCAGATCTCACTTTTCCGTCAACTTTAATATTACCATCCTTATCAGCAAGAATCGTTTAGACTTCTCTTGCATACAAAGCGTATTTCAGTTTATGTTGCAATATTACAGACAAAGGAATTGATTCTCTCAATTTATGGGGTCCTTATGAGGGTCTTGTTGTCCAATTTCCTCCCAATTTTGAGAGCATCCAACTCTTGGGTGCTGTGATTCTTTTCATATGTTTCTTGGGTCCTCTTGCCTATAGATAATAGTAATCACTATTCTTACCATGATTGTTTAAAGAAAAAATTAAAATCTTTTTAATTTAATTCAAAATGCCAATACTCATAACATCAGAAATATTTTATTATTATGTACAATATTTATGCTATTCATATTATGACAATTTAATATGAAGGTATGAACTACGCAATTACAGAGCACAATATCTTCTTGATTCAGATTCTGATAATTAATACAATGAGAGAATCAATTTTAAATTACAATAAGCGATTTTAATATTTAATATAAATGCAATTCTAATAATTAATGCCCGTAGGATATGTGAAACAACCTCCTCTTAAGACATTTGTTATTGCGAAGATTAAGAAGGAAAATACTGAGAAATAGATAAAACTGTATAAACAAAAATATCACCAATACTTCTATCAGCATGATTATCTGAAATTGGTTAAACAAGGTAAAGAGAAGGATCATGTATTGATGTTATTTTGTTTTCCAGAAGTAAGTCTGCTGATTGTTATCAATAGGACTTAGAGAAGATGAAGGTGGACTTTGAAGTGGAGGAATATATTGAAATTGAATTGCCAAGCATTGCCCCTATTCACAAAGATTAGAAGTCTCTGTATAATGACTATTGGAATATCTTGCATCCGAATTACGAGTATCCGCATAAGCAAAACAAAGATGCAGCTCTGAGAATGCAATAGATTTTAGATACCAAAGTCACAAGGAATAAATGCATCCTCTATGATGAGGACAACACTATTGTGATTGAAGCAGAAGATGAAACGCACATCAATAATGCTAGACATTGTGTCATGGTAGCAATGGAGAAGTTGGCAGAACACAACAAAAATGAGAATCAATAGAAGCACTTTCATGATTTATAGTATTATGCTAAAGAAATGACTTTGGTAATATACTTTGAACCATGCATAATGTGTGCTATGGCTTTGGTTCATTCAAGAATTAAGGAGGTGTATTACTACCAAAAGAGAGTGGTAGATGGAGGACTCAATGATCAATTATAACTTAATAACCTGAAACAACTAAATCATAAATATTTAGTGTTCTATTAGCATTGATTTAATTTTATTTATAATTCAATTGCTATTATTTGTAAGTTCATTTATAACGTTGGTTAATTAAGCAACCTATTATGAAATGGAACTAAACATATATCTGTTAATAAATACTCGTAAAACTATTGAGCGTACTCTAAATTGTAAAATACTTCCTGAATGACTTTTAGAGAATCCTCAAATTCTTGCTCTCCCTAATTGGCAAGTTTAAGAAACTCTTATTTATCCTCCATTTGACATGCAATCTATTCTAAATCCTTTAGATTTATGGAAGCAAACTAAATAAATGTAATTGTTGTTACTATAGCATCGTATTCTGTAATCTTTATTTGGATCATCTTTAATGCTTATAATAGAAGATTTGCGTCGATTTTTTAATTGCTGCTCTGATCCAATCCCATATCATCGATGTACTTCTCTAGACTAGCCAATTGGAGTTTTATTAAGTCCATCTTGTTAATTATAGTCTCAACAGCAACAGACAACTTTTTCAAAGTGTTTAGATTCTTCCTGAAGAAGTTCTGAGACTCCTACAAGGAATTCTACATTTTACTGGCGATCATTTGATTATTGTTCTATTCAATAAATAGTAATTGTTCCTTAATGCCCTTAATCTGTTCTTCTGTGGTTCTATTTATTAGGCTTGCCTCTAAAAGCTTCTTTTGTACATCTATTTATTATAATGACATCAAATACCCTCAACAATTCTTCTGAAATTTTCAATCTATTATGATAAGAGTTAATATCCCTGAGTGGGAGGTTCCTTTTACACAGAGCATAAATCCAATTGATTTTTTATATTTATTAATTTCTTTCCTTATTCTTACTGCAATTGATGAATCTTTTGAATTTATTGTTGGCATCCTTTCCATCCTCCCTTTTGTTTAATAAAATCAACTTTAAGTTGGATTGATTGGGTTAATTTTAGAGTTTCAGCATTTTGATAAGAATCAACCATGAATTGTATGTTGTATTAGAAATAAATCTAATTAAAATTATTTTGTAGATCTAATAGTTTTTATTAGGCATAAGTTTTATGAGCATTTATTTCTTAGATTAGTTTTCGGGTTTCCACATGTACTTCCTATTATTTGTTATCCCACTTGTTTTAAAATGACTCTGGAGGCCTAGCCTTAATGAGATCCTATTTGACTGGCAATTGCAATAATTCATACTCCTTTGCTATAGGGTGTTTAAAAGCATTTTCATTGAGATACAAGTACTCTTTCTTAAGTGCTATAAGCTACTATTATTGCAAGAGAAGGAACTCATTCTTGTGTTTAAACTTTTTAAAAAGTTCCACTATTGATTATTCAGCCTTATTCAAATAGGTTATGGCTTTGCCCATTCTTTATTCTCGTGGAACCTCTTTGGCAGTGCTAGCCATCAATTTGGCCAACTCCATATTGGTGATAACAACAGTGACAGTGTGATCATTGGAGAACCTCTCCATCAACTAATTATAAATGATGGGGGGTATTGGTTTCTTGTTACTGGTTTTGGTTTATATCAAGCATCTAATAGTTTACTCGTACATCTTGGAAGACTCTTGTAACAAACCCAAAGCTATAAGAAGTTCATCTGGATTTTTGATTGTTTGGAAATGATCATACAATTTCTTATATCCATAGGCTTAGGCCTATTGATTAGAGGAAAGATTACGTAGCAATTGTGCATGTGAATGTGCACTAATGATAGATCGGAATGCTATTAGATAGTCCTTGAATTGACAAAGGCCGTGACTTCAGAGAGTCTCTAAAAACACCACTGGGAATTACGACTCTTGCTAATTGCATCCTTGATGGTTGGCATGTTCTGTCCCAAATGATAATAGAGCAATCCAAGATTGTATAGAGAGCAGGAGTATTCGTAATGCCATTAATTGGATTGAGTAAATTTATTCTAAAATATTCTATCTGTGTTACAGGTTCATAGGAATCATTCCACGAGAATGAGATTTCAAGCTTAACTTGTTAATCTATGGCTGAGTCCAAAAGGAGAATATATTCGGTCAGTAATTTCTCAAGTTAGAGACAAGCCTCCACATCCCCCTTATTACAATCCTACCAACGATAGTCAGTGATCTGCTTTCTATATTCATCGATTTTATTGACTAATTAATTCTTATTCGATATCAATAGACTATTACCTCAGTCCTGGGAAATTTGATTGCCTTAGTTTATTTAAATCTGAAACCAAAGTTCATATTATTATTATTTATGTATTTGGCGAGAATAAATATTACAAATATTTAAGTTATCACTCATAATCTCTACTTCCCTTAGGCTTACTTTAATAGATGCAACAAGGTTTCTTGTCTACGACTCTTTCGTTTCTTCGTCTATCTCTAGAACACCATCATCTTTTCTTGATACTACAATGAGAATCGAAATCATACTCTGGTCAACACCAATGAAATGTTGTTGTGAGAATTGTAATTGCTGAATTCGCAAACCCTCTCGAATTGCTAGAAGATATCTATGTATTATCCCATAATCTTTTCCTAATCATCGTCCTCCTCCTCAGAACTATCATCTAACTTTAATTTTACTGATTTTCTTCTCATTATTTAGTTTATCTGTAATGAGGGTACTTACAAAACCTATTAACATCCTTGTTCATTCATCACATACAACGACTCATTCACTCCCTTCTTCACACCCTTCTCATTTACAGGCACTTCCTCATCAGGAGACTCTGTCTGAGATCCATAATTTACTGAAGTCTTCCTGTGATTCTTGCCCCCAGTTGTATTCAGAAATTGATTATTCTGACAAAACCTAAAAGTTCTAGGAGAGGAATCATCCAAAGACACCAAGACCCTCTATGATAAAGATGACTTCCCCATAGTCTGGACATTATTTTGCATCTGATTACAAGTGGGTTGATTTCCAAAATGGATACCATGTTGTTATTACAATTCCTTCATCTCCTCTATCTAAACTAGATCTTCATTCTTCATCATGTAATTGAGAACACTCTCCAAAACAATGAAATGATGCTTCAATGCATACATTTTCCTCGTATGGTTATGTCTAAGGTACTGTGGTGTTCTGTCGACTGGAGTGAACTTCCTGTAATTGTACAACGTCTTGATTCTATTAGGTAATCCAAATAACAAGGGACAAGTATTTGTAAAATGACAATCGCTTTGGCAACTATTACATTTTATTTGAATTGCTTTAAAATTTTAATTTTGAACAATGTCATCTGTGATCTACTAGAAAATTTCCTAAGCTTATACACTTTAAATATATACATAATCCAACGGATGATCCTTAAAGATGAAGTGCAATTACTCTCTTGAGATCTGGAGAACTTTAGTTGTTTGTGAAGCTATGGCATCATAGGAGTAGGCTCTTTTTGAGAAGAAATCCAATTACCCAACAAAAGAGGGATTGTTTATCTTTTATAACAATCTCGATTAATCATTGAGAGTAACGACTAGTTTTATCTCCCCTGTTACGAGAATGAATAATTAAGTTGATTTATTATTTCTTCTGAATAGGTAATCGTCAGATTGGATTTATCTCTCCTCTAAATACATACATAATTTATTCAACAAAGGTTAACTGAAATTCTTAAAGAAAGATAATTGATTTATTATTTTAGCATTCACATCTACAATCATCTGATCTTTCAAACTTTTGGGGATCAAATCTGCAAATTAAATTACTTTCTAAGAGGGTTTGCTCCACAAATATTCAAAATATCTTCTAAACTTGATTTAAAGATCATCAGACACATTCTAGCTTTTTAAATATCTATTTAATTGATTCATGTTATTCTTTAATTGAACTGATTACTTAGAGAAGTCTTGGAATATGCCTCCTATATTGTTGACAGTATATGCAAATGTTGCAGATGAGATCATAGTCATAAAGATTACAAAGATACGTTCAGTCAAATTCACAGGGATGATATCTCCATATCCAATGGTTGTCATTGTAACAATACTCCAATAAAATGAGACTACATATCTATCCAACCAAGATTCGTTCTACAATTAGGCAACCTTCAACCAAGTCTTGCCTTCATGATGACCCCATTCTCCCCACTGTCCGATGATATGCCAAATGCAGGCTGAAAAGTGGGCTACTAATATCATAAAAGATCTAATGCATATGTATAGGCATACATCATCTTGAATAAATCGAATATTGCCGTTTGTCTATTCGTCAACTCCAAACGATTAAACAGAGATGAGAATAAACTTGACAACTAGAATACTTTCAAAACTATCACAAAATCAAAGTATCTAAAGTTGAATTGTTGACCTATAAAGAAAGGAACAACCAAAAACAAATCAATAAAAAAGCCTATCCAATATTAATACCCATTAACCTTCAATGCAATAGAATTTGACTATCTTTGCTCTGCTTGTGATTAGTATTCCCTTGTTGTAAATGCAAGTGTTGAATTTCAATGCGATATCCAAGAGAAATGAATAAACAGGTAATTGTTCGAAGATGAATTCCTTACTGTTCAATGGAAATTCTTCAATTTCTGGAAAGGAAATACGCAAAGAAACATAAAACACATTTATAGTAACAATCACTATTAGATAGATATTCCAAATGATTATGATAGCATCATCTGGTTTTAAGAGCCACTTTCTGAAATTGCTTTTCTAAAAATGGTTGTTGTGTTCTGCTATATTGATACATATATACACAGTATGCAGGAAAACCAATTATTTAATTTGAGCAGGAAGCGAGAGGGTCTATCTTTAGGTAGGAGTCCTTGATATCTGTAATAATTATAGTGAGATGCATTGTCATTAATTAAATTGAATTCTTGCTTTGAAAAATGAGTCAGATCCCTCTTTGTGATCTGTCTAGTGATCAGAGCAATGAATCTGGAGACTATCAGTATTATTTTGAATGCTTTGTATTTCCAAATAGGATTTTCTATTCCAAAACTTTGATGTTGAGTCCTTCTACCCCACAATAGCACTTTGGAGCTCTTGTTTATATTTGTTTCAAGGGGATCTGGACAATCCTCGATGTTGCTGATTTAACTTATAATCATAAAATTATAATAATTATTTAAAACATGGATAAACTTGATAAAATTATTGCACAATTAGACGAATTGGAAATTAGTCAAAAACACAGGGAAGAGTTGCTCAAAAGAAATCAAGCAACATTCCTCCTGAGATTGCCAAAAGTACTCAATCAGATTTGTTATTCAGGTCATTTTAATATAGAGAGTGTGTGGATTTTTGGATGATAATGATCTATATAGATTTACAGCAACATGTTCCACACTCAGAAAGGTGATGTTTTGTCCTTTGGGATTCAAACTATTGATGTTGAGTAGAAATGCTAATCATTTGGTTGGAGGACCCAAACATTCTCAAATACAACTGAAACATGAAAAGATCGACATTATCTCATGTGGCAATTTGTCAACCAACAGCAGTATGTTTGACACAGAGGAGGATGCACTAGCCTAATTAGAGGTTTTGAAAGCTGTGAAGGATTTCTTATAGAGCAAATTGCAGGATTCGCAAGCAACCATTTAAAAATTACAAGACATGTTGGAAGATGCCCAAGCTACTCTAAAATATGAAAAATCAGTCAATTTAAGGTTGCAATCCAAAATAAACATTCTGCAAAATCAACTATCGATATCTGAACTCTAGAGGTAGGATGTTAGGGAGAACTTGGCAGAATTGAATTCTAAATACAACAAAATTGTATCGCATTATAGATATTCTCATAGATCACTTAAATGGAATAGGACAAAATCATCTTGTTGGAAGACAAGGAGAAGCTTCTAAAACACAAGCAAGTCTTGATCGAAGAGGTCTACAGATTGAGAGGTGTGGTGGCCAAGATGGAGGAAAACCAAAACAATTATAAGGAAGCCTTAAGACAGGTTAAAACCTTTATGGAAAGCGTAGAAGTTAAACCTGTTTGATTTTGTTATCGATTGAATTATTAATTAATTTTGATGATGTACTATTTTTCACAATTTACAAACTCAATTAAAATTGGATATTTTAGAGTGTGTATTTTTAGTTTAAAAATCTTATCAAATATTCCAATTTTAATTATTCATGGATTATTAATTACCATCTCTAGCTGATCCCTTCACATGGGTTTCTTACAGTATTTTGGGCATCCTGGTAGGCTTATCATAAGCTGGTGGTATTGGTGGTGGACCAATCATATCCCCAGTCATGATGGTTTTGTTAGGGTGTCCAAGTAAAAAGGCAATTTGGAACACTTACATAATGCTTTTAGGAGGAAGTCTTGGTAATTTCCTTCGGTTGGGCAAAGAAAGAGTAAAAATTTATATTTAAACTTCTATAGACTGCCAATGGAAATGCACCATTAATCAATTATTAATTAGTTCAAATAACATTGCCATTGTTATTAGCTGGAGCCATTTTGGGCGTAGCAACAGGTAAATGGTTACCAAAATTGATCATTGTGATCTTTCTATTTGGAATATTGATGACAGTCTTCCTGAAAACCAAGAGTTTGTACGCCAAAACTCGTAGCAAAGAAATGAATGAACAATTAATCCCAGTCGAACTAAAAGACCTGACAGTTTAAAAAGAGAGCAATCACTCAAAAGAATTGAATATATTAAAGGAGAAAGATGCAAGACTCTACCCAATAGAGCCACTTACAGAAATCAGTTTGACTATTTTGATCATCATAGTCGTAACTCTATTAAAGGGATCAGGGGCAGTACCATCTCTTTTGGGTGTTGATTTTTGTGGCTATGGCTATCATTTCTTAAATTTTGTTATTTTTGGAATAGCCTTTTATAATGTTTAAAGATATAGGAAATAAATATCAAAGGACGAAGAATATAGGGAATCCATTGGTTACGATTTTGCAGATGGCAAAATGAGTTCTGTATTTGATATTACAGTGAAATCCAGTCTATATGCTGGCTTTTTGGGTGGACTGGTTGGATTAGGAGGAGGTGTGGTATTGACTCCGCTTTGGTTAGAAACTGGAATCAACCCTCCTCGAGCAGCTGCTTCAGCTACTTTCACAGTATTATTCACTTCATCCATATCAGTATTTATTATAGCTCTATCGGGAGGCTATTAATTTTCTGAATTTATAATTTTGGGGGTAAATATAATTTGTTTATAATATTAGTTGGTTTCAAGTCTTGGCAGTTATTTGGTTGCAGGATTCCTGAAAAAGTTGGTGAAAAAATATAAAAGAGAGTCGATTCTCATTCAAGTGCTTCTAGGAGTAATTTCGTTTGGTTTGATTATACTTCCCTTTCAATCTATTAAGGATGTTTATCACAATCCACTTGGTGCCATTTAATTTGGTCGTTTGTGCTGATACTTCTGACAATTTTTATCTTTATTTAATATATTATTATGTATCGTAAATTAAAGACAATAAATTGATATGTTCATAACAAAGTGAGTGAGTAAGATTGTGGATTGAATGGCACATAGGCTTGCTAAAATAATTTAAATTTGACCTCTTTTATAAATAAAATATATTACTGTTTTATGAAATTTCTAAATGTTTCATGATTAAACTATATTCATAAGCCAGAACCTTTTTAGTAGAAATTAAATCTGACTCATTAAAACTACCTAAAAGTTCCATTTCTACGAATTATTCCTTTTGAACTTAAATAGTAACAAATAATTCTTTGGATTAAAGAGCTTCCATCATAGCAATTAGAAAAACACTAAAAATGGATGGACACGTTTTAATCTTGATTTATTGTTAATTAGAAACTGTAATTTTTTTGGACTTATACAATTGATTTAACTGTTGAAGGATTGTATCTAGATTGACAAATTTGGCTTTGATTTGTGAATTGTTTAGATCTTGAATCAGTTTAATAAGCATCAACTTTTTTTATACCTTTTTCACATGATCCTGATTGAAATTCTTTTTTTAAATCAGTTGACATAGCTTAATAATGATATTGAGTAATTGATCATACTTTGTTTGCATAAGTTCATTGTTAGTCTAGACCAGATTAGAAATCTAAGGAAATACAAGGAGTATTGTTGGTTTATTACTGAAATAAACAGAGTATTCAATTTTGATTATGAGTTTTTAATGTGAAATTGTGATTGTCTTATTAAACAGATCAACACAATTCTATTTAAAATTCTTAATTTCATTGTATATCACTTATTCAATAGTTTAATCATTGTGTTTTGCCTCTCTTAAGAACTTCAGTGCATCTTCATTGGAACTAAATAATCGTTGGCAATTCAAAATTTTGATAATCTGGAATTTGAACTACTCCTCATCGAAAGAGATCAAAATGTAAGGGATTTACTTAGTAATTTGGGTCAGTATGTTTTCCCATGATTGATCCACCAATGTTAATAAATATTAGGATCTGATTGCCTTATGATATTGGTATAAATATCTGGATGCGTAAAGGATGAGGATGAAGGCTGAGAATATTGCAGAATACTCTATACTGGTGCTTTTAGTGAAGATAATGATGACCCTTATGATTGAAATGGAAATAAGAGAAAACATTGCATCTATGTACTCACCAGCCAGAATAATTAAAAAGTTTGATCCCATCTGGTTGACGCCTCTAAGGTGAGCTGATAATGAATCAGAGGATTCTTCGACAAACAAAAAATAAATAGTGAAAGCATGATTCAACAAAATTAAGGATGGTCTCAAAAATCGTTTGTATTTCTTACTCAAAAGATACTGCAGAAATATATAGGAGATCATGGCTATATAAGTATACACATTAAAGTAATTTTATTACAATAGGCCCTGTCCTATTCTAACAATGAAAACTACTGCGAAACCCAGAGTTATCAGCGTAAACATTGTCATTCTAATCTCACCAATACTCGTCTATTAATATTTAGCCTCAATCTACGGGTTTTTGAATGTAAGTAAGTATTTGTTCATGTGTGACTTTAATTTAATAAATATAAATGGAATTAAATTATTTAAGTATTTTGGATTTTCTATTTTTATAATAAATTTTTATAAAATTAGAAATTATGTTTAATTATATATAAGAATTGAATTCATTCCCAAATCCACTATTTCAATTGCCTTATGTTTTGTAAGTGTTCTTATTTGTCTTCTTCCTCCATTGATTGTAAAACTTAATGACCGAATCATAATTATAAGTTGGGTAATACATCCTAAAGAATTTCATCTTCTCAAAGTCATTAATGATACAGAAATCGTCGTGCCATACTTTTTAATTGGTATAATTTTGTAGAATTCTGACTATCGAAGCACCTTTGATCTTGGTTCTCACACTTTTGAATTCAGGCTTACTGTTTTATTTTGGAGTAGCTTATTTGTCAAAGAATACAGATATAGAGTCTTTGTTTTCATCCAAATAATGTCTTGATTACTCTAAGTCATCATAAGACTCTTGCTTATTATATATATCTTACATCGCTCTCCTCATTCGCTGACTTCTCATCTTCATCATCACTCTCCATCTCCCTCTCTTGCATTTTCATCGTCTTTATAGTCCTCTGATAACACAAATTTGCATTTCTCCTCCTAAACTCCAATTCATGAAATGCCCTTGACTTTTACTTTCGCCTCCTTTTAAATTTACCTTGCCTCTCCTGCTCTACTGAATATTGATGTTTAGCTAGAATCAATTCTTTATTTAAATTAAAATAGATATCCTCGCATATCTCATGTCCTTATTTTCTACAAAGTAAGCACTTCAAAAATAAATTATCATAATTCTACACCATGATCCTATCTCTAATCTAATAGAATTAATCTAAATCAGTGTCCTTTAATTTCTTAAAGAAATCTCCCTGAGAGATGCAATAAACAGTTGAAAACCCTTCACTTACGAACCCCAGTTTCCTATTCTACTACTCATTAAACAAAGATTTCAACCCTACACCATCTCCTGGTTTCAAATTCCCAACTATAGTCCTGTTCTCCCCAAATATTATATTGATATTTCCCTTCAATAAAATGTACAATCCCTGATCATTCGGCAGTCTCTCTTAAGGAGTTAGATTAATTTCCTGAACACTTTCAATTAGTTCTTTCAGCAATTTCAACGAGAAATTGTTCACCAATACTGGTTATTTTAACAATAACAACCCTTTATCCTATTCATTTAACTCTTGCTTTAACTGGGGACTCAGTTTACCAAAGATCTTCTTTTCCTAAGTAGAGGGCTGATGTTTATATACTAATCGAAGATAACTAAATTTAAATGACGACTTTACTTTTCTACTCTCTTTTGTAAATCTGAATCGATGTTTCTCTTCTTCATATAATGACTCAAGATTTCCAAATCATGTTTGACCTTACTCTTGTCTGCATCCAAGTCTTTCAAAATTGAAGTTATCGTATTGAACACATATGCAAATATACATGATGAAAAGAGAGTTAAACAAATGCTCACCAAGACTTCATATGGATTTATTGGTGTAATGTCACCATATCCCACTGTAGTCATGGTTGTAATGGCAAAATACAATCCAGTCAAATAGATTTCAACCCAATGTGAATCTTCTAATCCTCGTTGGACTATCCAATTCTTATCCATTGAATGTTGACCTATTCCTATCCAAACACAAGCAAAACAATGAGCTAACAATACTACTGTGATCAAAAGTTTCAATAATTTAAGATGGTTTTTAAATTTACCTTTTGGATCTATTTCATACTTGAAAACCTCCATAAATGTTGACAATTCCTTTAATTTTAAAATGAATAAGTATTTTAGAGGAGTAACTGTTGATAGCAAGAAAACAACCAATCCCAACAATCCTCCAAAATCAATCAAGAATTCCTTTCGAAAATATTAAATAATTATTTTTCTTGTTTATGTTATCAAAATCCCCTTGTTATATATCTACACATTCAATCTCATTATTATGTCAATCGTCAATATCACTATCTCAACAAAAAATATTGGCATCTAAATATCAATAAATTCATCCAATTAGTATACAAATGAATCAGATAATGGAAATATGAAACATAAATGTAATACCAAAAGAAATTTTAAGAAACTCCAAAATATAAGCATGGGATGACTTGCCTTTATGCTTGTAAAACTGCGATGTTTAACCATAGTCATCAGACTAGATACCAAGACTTACAAACTCACATTCTGCTGTTTGTATTGATAATACTGTTTTTCAAATTAAGATGAGTCTTTCTCCCTCTTTGATTGCTAAATATAACTGCTCGAAACATCATTAAAGGCTTGCAATTACTACTTACTCAACAGAGACAGATTCTTAATTTTCGTATACTTCCGTAATTTTTATATTGCTTAAATTAGAAGTTCCTTCAACCTTGCCTATATGTTTATCTGCCTGAATTTTATTTGGCCTAGAGCTTCTTGAAATAATACACGTTGTTCTCCATTAGGAGAATGCACCTAAACATGACTAGCCTGAAGATCATTGAGGTCTAGTTAATTCATCAATAATTTAATTCAATTTATAATATATTAGAATGATTCAAATTATTTGAGAGAAGTAAAATGAATTTCAATAAATTAGGTACTGCATTTTAATTTAAATTCAAATACCAAGTCAAAAGCCATTATTGCAATTTTTGACTACTTCTAACAGCAAATTCGATATTCCAAAATATCCTTAATCCTATATCACACAATAAGGATTGCTTAATGAAAAACAGATTAATTAATTTTACATTCAATCAATTCAAATCAATATAATATTAATATTATAAATTATAATATACAAATATTATATCTAACAATTAGATGGATACTTTTTTACTTTTATGAAGAAAACATTTAAAACAAAAATACTATTTATAATTTGAAGTTATAACAATCATGATATCATTGACAAATTCAGTTTGTTTCTTTTTGCCTGTTGAACTGAAAATGTATTTGATAATAAGGGTCTAAGTAGTAATTTGACTCCATTGCTTTTAGGAGATGTGTTTATTTTTTTTTTACTTGAACTTTACCTTGTAGTAAATGGTTGATCTTCTATTCCTGTAAGATATTATGAATTCCTTTTTGAGAAGCTTTTTCTAAGAGATTTAGTATCAGATATCAACTTTTGAATGGCATTCTTTTTAAAATTCATGGATTCATTATCTGTATCAATTCCAAATAATTCTATAAATTCTGCAAATATCCTCATCTGAGATTTGAATATCATACTCATAACATTGAATTGATCCTCAAGAGTCACAAAATCTTTTAAATTCGATTTAAGTTTTAATGAATCAGAAACATCAACCTTATTTGCCTTAGCTTTCAAGAAATCTTAAATACGATCTATTTATTAACCAACATCTTCAAGTTTATATAATTCCATTTATTTATTTACATTATGCTTAATAGTATCTTCAATACTACTTATTATTTATTCTGATAACTACTTAGCCATCTGTTATCTCTATTCATCAAAGTATTAATAACATCTAGTGATTTATTTTTATGTATCTTAAATTTATAGTAAGTTTTTTTAATAATGTAGTTTATAATCTTCTTGTTCTTTTTTTAAAATTATCAAATCCATTTTGGTCGCCTTTTGTAATAATTCATAATCTGTTGCTTTGATTATTTTACGAAACTCTTGGACTTCATTGAAATCCTTATCTACAATATCTGATAGATCTTTGATTTTTGGTAGCAATTGCTCCTAAAAGGCTGAGAGTTGTGTCTAAGTAGCAAATATTTTGGAGGAATCTACAAATTCTTAAAATTCATGTAATTTCACAGTTGTAGTTAGGTCTGAGAGAATGAACTAGAGGGAAATTTATCAATTACATAAATACATCTTATTTTTTGATTACATCATTGATGTTTGAATTGGTATATCGCTTAAGTTCGATTAATTGCTCACTCAAATGATGGAATCGACATTCGAGGAGATCTAATTATTACATAGTCATATCTTTGGGAGCAAACTTGGCTTAGAAATGACTCATGTGATCGCTCATCTATTCTTCAAAGAGCATATGAAAATCTTGGGCGTTCAGATACGAATTGAGGGATTCTTGAATAGTTATTAATTAATTATTGATTTGTGTTTATATCTTGATGAATTATCCCTCGCATTAATTTTAAAGCTTTCGAATTTGCATTTAGAGATCACACAGATCTTCTTGACTTGGTTTTTCATTGATTTGCTAAGTAAGCTGTTAGAGAGTATGATCTTAACTATTGAATTTATACATGATGGCATCAGTCTATTATCTAGATTAATCTCTTAAGAGATCTATTTTTAAGGATATTGAATTATTAAGTTCTGCAGAGATCTGGCTGATCAATTTATTTTTTGGTTTAAATGATAATTTCTTGGGAACGAAGTTCTGTTTGCATCTCACTTAAAACAGTCTGTCTGTATCGAATTCAAAGATATCACTAAAACCCAGTATGTAATCTATGAGTAATGATAAGGTTTCTTCATCCATTAGAGAGATATAAAGAAATTATTAATTACTCGTTTAATTGCATAATTATTGATATTAAGAAAGTAAAGGGAGAAATGGAGAAGTAATCAGTAAAATTCCTGAATAAATATTTGATTAATGTAAATTGCTGACTTTCATAATATATTGACGATGTTATGGAAAATAACCCAAATCATTAAGAATAATAACAAATCTGTTCCGATTCCTGAATAGTATGCATCATAACTTGATTTGAAGTACTCTTTGACTCTGAAATTCATTTTAATTGCTAAGCAAGCACTCACAATCAAGAATACCACAACATAAATTCCCATGCCAATCCATCCGTCTAAAATTATTCATCAATTTCTACCCATTCCCAATATACCTGCTATCATACCAGCATTCAATGATCCATACACTCTGAGGTTTTTAAGTTGATTTGTGTTTTATTTTAATCGTTCCTAATTAACTTCCAGATCATCCAATTCAACTTTTGGTTCCTCCATTAATTAATTTATATATTAAATTATATTAATTCCAGCTCTTCTACAATATATATCTTAAATAGGTAGAACCAGAGTCAATTGATTGATTAGTTGTCTACAATCTATAATTCTGGAGTAGTCAGTAAACCTAAGTTAATACAATTAAGTTTAATGTATATTAATTTGATTAATTCAAAAGTGAAGATCGGACATAGCAAAAGATATGATAATGAGTAAATCTATCAGGGATGATAGCCAAAAGAAAAGGAAATTAATTTAGCACAATTGATTTAATGAATACTATAATGTTTTACATTATTAATATTTCAAAATCTCACGCAATTCGTAAATAAGTACTTGACTATTTTGGAAAAAACTAAATTTTGAATATCCAAATCTTTGGTGTCTTGATTATCAGCTTTGAGCAATGATACCATTTTAGCTATCTCCTCACTTAACTTCTCAAGCTTAACACGCTTAGAAAACTGTTTTTATAATTTCTCAAATCTTAAGCTAGATTTCACACTCATATACATCAGAATTACTAGAACTATACTCAATACAATTATATCGATACCTATTAGATAGAGAGGTAGCATCTTATGGATTATTCTCCATACCTGTTTAGAATATTCAATAATAATTATCATCATTGTGTGATACCATTTTCTTCTATTTCTCAAATCCATTCTCTTTTGGTAATTTAAAACTCTCAACTAATAATTTTATTCACTATTGAATTCCTATTTGATAAGATTCTCCAACAAAATGTTCACCTTAAACTAGTTCAAGTATATCTAAATTGGTGCTCTGCAAACTGGACATGAGTTGTAACTTTGATAGAAGTATTTACTTCGAACACATGGTTTACAAAACGTATGGCCACATGTTAAAGTAATTGGTTGTAACAATGTTTATAAACATATTGGACAATCGAAAAGTTGTTGCATAATTAATTAATAATGGACACATATTTACACACTATTTAGAGTATATAAATAAAATTCATCCACAATCTTCAAAATCATGAAATATACTCATCTATTAGACTGTTGATTACAAATTCAAACTCGCAATTTACTTCTTCTGCAATTATCAACTCATTCACAGTTAAATCAATCATCATATAATTGAGGATGTACTAAATCCTTTAGGAAATAATAATCTAAGCTATTCACAACTAATAAATGCATCAGGATTTAAACTGTCACTCAGATTAATCATTAGCAAGTTATATTCTAATGAATTATGGAAATGATATTAAAATGGACTTTTATCTATGCAATTCTTATGAGATGATTATAATAGACAATTTCCTACTTTTTCATTTGTTTTAATATACTATTTCTGGTTATTAAATAGATATTAAAAGAATTAATAATATTATTTGTTCAATATCTATTTTTAAAGAAATCTCAATTGTGCAAATTTAGTTATTATTAATTTTAGAAAGCCATCAGATGGAAGTGATAATT